GCAATTGTGTGGTAGTTTGAGCATTCTTTGGCATTGCCCTTCTTTGGGATTGGAATGAAAATGGACCTTTTCCAGTCCTGTGGCCACTGCTGAGTTTTCCAAATTTGCTGGCATATTGAGTGCAGCACTTTCACAGCATCATCTTTCAGAATTTGAAATAGTTCAACTGGAATTCCGTCACCTCCACTAGCTTTGTTCATAGTGATGCTTCCTAAGGCCCACTTGACTTCACATTCCAGGATGTCTGGCTCTAGGTGAGTGATCACACCATCGTGATTATCTGGGTTGTGAAGATCTTTTTTGTACTGTTCTTCTGTGTATTTTTGCCACCTCTTAATATCTTCTGCTTCTGTTAGGTCCATACCATTTCTGTCCTTTATTGAGCCCATCTTTGCATGAAATGTTCCCCTGGTATCTCTGATTTTCTTGAAGAGATCTTTAGTCTTTCTCATTCTATTTTTTTCCCTCTACTTCTTTGCACTGATCAGTGAGAAAGGCTTTCTTATCTCTCTTTGCTATTCTTTGGAACTCTGCATTCAAATGGGAATATCTTTCCTTTTCTCCTTTGCTTTTCTCTTCTCTTCTTTTCACAGCTATTTGTAAGGCCTCCTCAGACAACAGTTTTGTATTTCTTTTTCTTGGGGATGGTCTTGATTTCTGTCTCCTGTACAGTGTCATGAACCTTTGTCCATAGTTTATCAGGCACTATGTCTATCAGATCTAGTCCCTTAAATCTATTTCTCACTTCCATTGTATAATCGTAAGGGATTTGATTTAGGTCATACCTGAATGGTCTAGTGGTTTTCCCTATTTTCTTCAATTTAAATCTGAATTTAGCAATAAGGAGTTCATGATCTGAGCCACAGTCAGCCCCCGGTCTTGTTTTTGCTGACTGTATAGAGCTTTTCCATCTTTGGCTGCAAATAATATAATCAATCTAATTTTGATATTGACTGGTGATGTCCATGTGTAGAGTCTTCTCTTGTGTTGTTGGAAGAGGGTGTTTGCTATGACCAGTGTGTTCTTTTGGCAGAACTCTATTAGCCTTTGCCCTGCTTCATTCTGTACTCCAAGGCCAAAGTTGCCTGTTACTCCAGGTGTTTCTTGACTCCCTACTTTTGCATTCCAGTCCCCTATAATGAGAAGGACATCTTTTTTGGGTGTTAGTTCTAGAAGGTCTTGTAAGTCTTCATAGAACTGTTTAACCAGCATTACTGGTTGGGGCATAGACTTGGATTACTGTGATATTGAGTGGTTTGCCTTGGAAATGAACAGAGATCATTCTGTCTTTTTTTGAAACTGCATCCAAGTACTGCATTTCGGACTCTTTTGTTGACTACGATGGCTACTCCATTTCTTCTAAGGGATTCTTATCCACAGTAGTAGATATAATGGTCAGCTGAGTTAAATTCTCCCATTCCAGTCCATTTTAGCTCACTGATTCCTAAAAAATCGAGATTTATTCTTGCCATCTGTTTGATCACTTCCAATTTGCTTTGATTCATGGACCTAACATTCCAGGTTCCTATAGCAATATTGCTCTTTACAGCATTGGACCTTGCTTTCATCACCAGTCACATCCACAACTGGGTGGTGTTTTTCTTTGGCTCCATCTCTTCATTCTTTCTGGAGTTATTTCTCCACTGATCTCTAGTAGCATATTGGGCACCTATTGACCTGGGGAGTTCATCTTTCAGTGTCCTGTCTTTTTGCCTTTTCATACTGTTCATGGGGTTCTCAAGGCAAGAATACTGAAGTGGTTTGCCATTCCCTTCTCCAGTGGACCACATTTTGTCATTTCTTCTGCTCAAGTCACCAGAAAAACTGGTTACTTAAAACATCTCATGATACTCACTTTCTTAGGCTTTCTCATTAGAAATACTTCCTCAGTGGAAATATACTCTACCTCAGTTGAGTTCATTCGCTCAGTCATGTCCGACTCTCTGCGACCCCATGGACTGCAGCATGCCAGGCCTCCCTGTCCATCACCAACTCCTGGAGCTTGCTTAAAATCATGTCCATTGAGTCGGTGATGCCATCCAACCATCTCATCCTCTGTCATCCCCTTCTCCTCCTGCCTTCAATCTTTCCCAGCATCAGGGTCTTTTCTAGTGAGTTAGTTCTTTGCATTAGTGAGTGTTGAACTAACACTTTCCAGCGTTTCCTGGTGATCCGTCTAACATGACCTCCTAACTCTAACATCAATTTAAAAAAATTGCATTCTTGGAGAAATGCTCGTTAATTTTCAATAAGGTGATTTCTTCGAATAAGTGTTACTACAGAACACAGTTATTGGTTTCTTCTGTTGTTTTTCTACCAGCAAACCTTATCTTGATTTCCTCCAATATCTTACTCTGTTGACTATCTCACAAGTGGAATTAGAAAAGTCAGTAGGAAGTTTTTCTAATACAGAATTGAGGGGTTTGCCATTTGTTGCAAGTTTCCAGTCTAGCTGTTGTGTGATTAGAACTGAAATCTGAATGTCAAATGTCTTATTTGCCGGGAACTGAATATTTAATGAAGAAATATTTTCATGAAATAAAATGGGATTTCTGGCCTTGTTGGTTCCTGAAATTCGCATTTGAAAAGCCTTCGAGTATAGCCCTTGGTTGGTGTATAGATAAATGAAACCTAGGTCCCATCACTGGGACTTGCCTCTTAAGTTAGGTGAATTCCCCCTGCACACTTTTAGAACTGGGACTCCTTTGCAAGATGACTGGGTTAGGCTGCGGGTGTCCCATGAGGCTGACTCATCCAGGGGAAGTTCGTGATATTGATTAACCATCACTGGTTCTGGCAGATTCCATGGGTTGCTAAAGGCAGCCACTTACAGATGTCAGCGTACACACTGATCTGTCTCTAGTCAATCAGTGCTCATCTTAAAGAGAGTCTGTCAGTGGCTGTCACTTTCTGTCCTTCTCTGGTTTTCTTCAAAGGAAAATGTCCAAGAATTGAGTGAGAAAGAAACTTAGAAAGTCAGGAGTAGAGAGCCTGTTCAGGGTGACAGTTCAGAGGTGTTTATTGTCTATTAAGAAGGGGCAGGGGTGGCATGGCCATCTGACATTGGAGTCTGATCACAGTTCTCTGTTCCTTGCCTGTGGCAGTAAGCTCAGGTATGACTTGTTTTTGGTCTTTGGAGTCTGAATATGGTCTGATCGGATTTTGAAGGCACTTGTCATGAGTCCAAATTCCGAAGTTAACTTGAAAGAGTTTATTTATAAAAACTGGCTCCAGCCAAGCAGAATTTGAGCTGGGCAAGATTCCGTGCCAGGGCAGGTTTTTCTCTCTTAATATATATCAGGAATGCACTGAGAATGCAGTCTCTTTATGTAACATCCTCACCCACTCCTGCTCACGGGTCCGTGGGCAGATACCTAGCAGGAATGTGACAGAGATTATTTCGGACTTTTTTAGGGCTGTCGGCCTGGCCGTCAAGCCACATTCGTATCAGCCGTGAAACCAGTGCTTTATAACTAAACGTAAATTACAACCTGTGGCCTCCTCCTTCATCTCTGTGACACGGCGTCTAAAGCCTGTGCTCTCTGACGGCTTGGAGGGACGGGGTGGGGAGGGAGGTGGGGGGTTCAGGATTGAGGGGACATGGGTATGCCTGTGGCCAATTCATGTTGATATATGGCAAAAACTAGCACAGTATTGTAACTATCCTCCAGTTAAAATTTTTTTTTTTTTTAAAGAAATATTTGTGCTTCAGCCAGGCTGAAAACTCAGTAAGGACTTTGGAAATTTGATACTACTTTTCTTTTTAAAATCACTGTGATTTCTTTCCAGTTAAAAATATTTATTAAGTGAAAGTGTTAGTCACTTAGTCATGTCCAACTCTTTGCGACTCCATGGACTGCAGCCTGCCAGGCTCCTCTGTCCATGGGATTCTCCAGGCAAGAATGCTGAAGTGGGTAACCATTCCCTCCTCCAGGGGATCTTTCCAAACCAGGGATCGAACCTGGGTCTCCTGTGTTACAGGCAGATCCTTTACCATCTGAGCCACCAGGGAATATTTATTAGGAGGTTTGTAATTGCAATGAGGGGTCCTACCTCTAGTCCTGTAACAAGCATAGAACCACGGTGGCATCTGAGTGGTCTTGGTGAGTGTGTAATTCTCTCTCACTCAGCTTGGTATCAAGGAATATATTGACATTTGCTCTCACCCATCCAGGTTGCTCACTGATCACTGGTTTTGGGGGGCAGTGGGCAGTGTTGGGGGTACACAGCAGGAGGAGTGTAGAGGGTGTTATGGGGCTGCTGTGTGTGATGGATGAGTGGGCTGTGCTTCCCACTCTGGGAGCAAAGGAAGCTTCTGTTTAGTCTTGAGGGAAAGTCTGGAAGCCCTTTAATTTGGTCTTAAAGAAAAGGCTGCCAGGCGAAGGTTGGGTCGGGGTGAACCATGCCAGGGGTGTGCTCTGGGGGCGGCAGGAGGGTGCTGAGGAGCCCGGGATTCTAGAGCCTGGTGGGGTTTGGGGCATTATTCTGTGTTGAAAAGAGCCATTAATGATTTTTTGAAGCAAGAAAATAACTTGACACTGTTATTCTTTCCTGAAACCATCTGCTCTCTCCCCCTGAAAACTCCACAAACTGTAGTTCATCAGGGTCGTTAAAAATAGGAGACTGAAACGTAGCAACCTGTGCTTCCTTGTCATGCAAGCTTCTTTTCTGTTCCTTTCTGTTATTCAGTCAAGGATTTTCAAGAGTTAACACACTTTATGGCTTTTTGAAAGACATTTATTATGTCGTATTGTGTTTTATGGTATTTTCCAGGTGTTGAAATAGTGAAACCTGTGTTTGCAACAAGTCTTCCCTTCATTTCCTGGTGCACAAATAATTCTGTTTTCATAGTCCTTTGCCTTAAGGAAATGAAAGTCTTAACTTTTACCTTAAAATTTCTATTTTTGTTTTCAAATATTAGAAAGTCTCAAGAATGTATTACTCTTGTTTGATGCCTATATTGGTTTTTAAAAAACCTCACATTATCTCTTATTTTCTAGGCTTACAAAGAGATTAAAGAGTGAATCCCTGAAGTCTGACTTCACGATAGATTTAAAACATGAGGTGGGTCATGAATTTGTTTGGTTAAAGGTGTTCGTAATCCAGAATCTGTGTATTTTTAAATGGTAATAAGATCATACACATCGATAATTACCTTAACCATAAATAGGTTTAATGCACCAACCAAAAGACAAAGGCTGGCAGATGAAAACACCTGCATGTTTGCACTTCCACTTACCACATCACTCTACTTAACCCCCCAAGTTGTAGGTAATTATTTTATAGTGTTAGGTTAATCATATTTCCATTATGGCTTTTAATTGTAATTATTTTTTGTCTGGCTATTCATTGCGAAAACTTATAAACATCTTTTACTTTTGTGATTATGTAATGTTATTTGCTTAATACCATTATATTATGATTGGTTAACAGAAAATAGTAGAATTCTATATTACTCAAGTAAAAGTGTTAGTTGCTCAGTTGTGTCTGACTCTTTGCCACCCCATGGACTGTAGCCCACGAGGCTTCTCTGTCCATGGGATTTTCAAGAATATTGGGTGGGGGGGCGTGGTTGCCTTCTCCCCTGGAGAAGCATCTTCCTGATCTAGGGGTCAAACCTGGGTCTCCTGCATTGCAGGTGGGTTCTTTACTGCCTGAGCCACCAGGGAAGCCAGAGGTGAATGTTTAAAAAACTTGCCAAAATGTCATTAAAATACCTCGGGTCTGACCTGGTGCGTCGGTTGCTCGCATGCCTCCGTCGCGTCTCTGGTCTAATCTGGTGCATCGGTTGCTCGCATGCCTCCGGCGCGTCTCTGGTCTAATCTGGTGCATCGGTTGCTCGCATGCCTCTGTTGCATCTGCGCTGGTGCTCTGCAGCAGGATGGAGCCATCTGGTACCCTGGCATTTAGTGGACACTGGTCGCTAAGCATCCTGAGGCAGGTGGCAGGCATGCCATCGTGAATCCAGTAGTCTCTGATCATCAGTTAGGAAGGTCTCTCTGTGCAGCTTATTCGTGGGTACATCTGATGACCAACCCTCGTTTCCCTCCAGAGAGTTCTGAGTCTTAGGACACTGGGGTCAGTCATGACATGTAGCTCAGTCAAGCAGCACTGGCCCCCTGCCAGGAGCCGAAAGGGCACTCAGAGGATTTTCATTTGAGGGGTGTTTTTAAATTATGAAAATACATGTCAGAAATAATTCTTTTCCATGAGAGGGAGGGAATGACTAGTTGAAAGCCAGGGTCTGTCGTGATATTTTTAATGAATAATCAGCTCGGGTATAGATTCCTAGGTTTGGGAGCTTATGGAACATTTAATAACATACAAAAAAAGGAAAAAAAGCTCTTAACATACCTGAAATGTATAAACATTAAGTCAGAATATCTGTGTTTAAGAGAGAGAACTTGACTGGTTGCCTGGATGTATCTCCCCAAGAGGACCCCACTTTGTCCTCACCAGAGTAAATAGCTTTCTTGAATTCTCTCCCTCTCCCCCTTTTCTTCATTATTTTATAATGTATGAATGTATCTCTGAATATATACTATGTAGTTTCACATCCTTCTGGGCTTCATGTAAACAGAAGTACCATGAATATGATTATAATTTGATTTGAAACTCATCTCTGTTGGTATGTGCAGCTTTAATGAATTTATCATCACTTTCTGTAAAGTCTATCTCAGGACTATACCATGGTGCATTTGCCCAGCCTCCTGGTTGTGGGCCTCCGGGTCACTCCTGGCTTTTTGCTATTACAGTCACTGTTTCTGTGAACATCTTTTACACATGTCATGGTGATCATCTGTAAGAGTTTCTGTACAGCAAAGCTTTTGGATTGTTTTGTGACTGGGACTCACTTTAAAAAATATGTTTTTCATTGTGACTCAGTGTACTTGTGTGTTGTTCTTGTGTTTTGTTGTTGATTTCCAGCTTAGCATGACTGGTCTGTATAACAGTCATTTGAAATATTTTTAGGCTTAACTCTAAGACCAGGTTCATGTTCAGTTTTCACAAATGGAGAAAAGGATATACGTGCTCTGATTGGAGGGTACATTATTCTCTTCATATCTATTGGGGCTTTCCTGGTGGCTCAGATGGTAAAGAATCCACCTGCAATGCAGGAGACCTGGGTTTGATCCCTGGTTCAGAAAGATTCCCTGGAGGAGGGCATGGCTGCCCACTCCAGGATTCTTGCCTGGAGAATCCCACGGACAGAGGAGCCTGGCGGGCTAGAGTCCATGGGGTCGCAAAGAGTCAGACATGACTAAATGACTAACACTTTCACTTATATCTGCTGAGTAAGAAATAGATAAATCAGTTAATCTTGTGTGCTTTTCACATATTTCCTCCCTCTCTCCCTTCCTCCTTTTTTGTTTTGTCTGCTTGATATGTCATTTACTAAGGGAGGGATATGAAAATCTTCCCTATGAGTGGTGACAGTGTCTGTTTGTGGAACTGCCAACTCTTGCTATTTATAGTCTGGGGCTATGTCAGTAAGAAGCATACGGGTTTAAAATTGTCATGTTCTCTTGATAAGTTATCTTTATCTCTAGTAATGCTTGTTGCCTCAGTGTTTATCTTGTTGATAGGAACACTTCTATACTAGCTTTCTTTTGGTGTTTGCCTCATAATTGTTTTTCATCTTTTTTCTTTCAGTACTTTCATGTCCTCATCTTTTGATGTGTTTCTCTTGAAGAGGATATGCTTATCTTTTTCTCCCAGTTTGACAACCTTTATCTTCAAACCACATAGCAAATTTACATTTACATTTTTCAGGATTTGTTGTTGTCGGTCGCTTAGTTGTGACTGACTCTTTGTGACCCTGTGGACTGTAGCCCACCAGGCTCCTCTATCCATTGGATTTTGTAGGCGAGAATACTGCAGTGGGTTGCCATTCTCTTCTCCAGGGGATCTTCCTGGCCAGGGATCGAACCCATGTTTCCTAATTTGCACCTTTGTTCCCCCTCCCATTTTTCTTTTTCTAACGCTAACCCTTTTGGAAGTTGAGTCTCAGTGTCTTTTTCTTAATGGTTATTTTAAACATTTTAACATGCCTGCTTAACCTTGTTGTTTAGTCATTAAGTCTTGTCTGACTCTTTGCCACCCCATGGACTGCAACAGGCCAGACTCTGTTATCCACTGTTTCCCAGAGTTTGCTCAAGTTCATGTCCATTGAATGGGTGATGCTTACCTAACCATGGCTAATTAATCAATATCCTGAAAATTTAAGGACCTGAACATATATCCCTCTCTCAATCTGATGCTCTTTTATCCAGCAGCTTTGTTCTGTCATTCCTTTTAACTCTGCAACTCAGATGTTGCCCTTACTTTATGCAGTTACCATTTGCATTAACTTAAACCCTGTATTTCCTCACTATTTTGTTTTGCTTCTGGACCCTGCTAATGGAGATCATTTTTATTCTTCCTGAAGTATGTAGTTCAGAATTTCCTTTTCAGTGAGGTGGCAAATTCTCAGGTTTTCCTTTAAAGATAATTTATTTCAGGTTGTTCTTGAGGCATGATTGCATTGTGTGTTCAAGTCCAGGTTGTGAGACCTTTTGTCTCATCACAGCAGCGCTGCTCCCCTGTGCCCTTTCTTCTGTTACTGCTGTTGTGTTGGGTGATAAGCCATCATTCTCACCTGATTGTAGCCAATCTGCTGTTTCTCTGGCTGCTTTTAAGATTGTTCTTTGTCTTTGGTGTTCTGCTGTTTTCACTTGTTGAGTCAATCAGTCGTGTCTGGCTCTTTGCGACACCATGGACTGCAGCATGCCACTCTTCCCTGTCTTTCTCTGTCTCCCAGAGTTCACTCAGACTCATGTCTGTTGAGTCAGTAATGCCATCCAAACCCTTCATTCTCTGTCACCCGCTTCTCCTCCTGCCCTCAGTCTTTCCCAGCATCAGGGTCTTTTGCAATGCGTCAGCTCTTCACATCAGGTGGCCAAAGTATTGGAGCTCCAGCTTCAACAACAGTCCTCCCAATGAATATTCAGGGTTACTTGCCTTTTGGATTGACTGATTTAGTCTTCTTGCTGTCCAGGGGACTCTCAGGAGTCTTCTCCAGCATCAGAGTTTGAAAGCATTAATTCTTTGGTCCTCAGCCTTCCTTGTGGTCTGTCACATCCATACATGACCACTGGAAAAACCATAGCTTTGACTGGACAGACCTTTGTTGGCAAAGTAATGTCTCTGCTTTTTAATACTGTCTAGGTTTGTCATAGCTTTTTCACTATGGTGTGTGTGTGTGTGTGTGTGTGTGTAGAGGGCTTCCCTGGTGGCTCAGATGGTAAAGAATCTGCCTGCAATGTAGGAGACCCAGGTTCAATCCCTGGGGTCTGAAAGGTCCCCTGGAGAAGGGAATGGATACCCACTGCAGCAGTCTCGTCTGGAGAATTCCACGGACAGAAGAGCCTGGCGGGCTGCAGTCTATGGGGTCACAAAGAGTCAGACACGACTGAGCGACTCACATACACACACATTCATGCACACATACACCCTATACTTTATTTTCTTGGGCTCCAAAATCACTGCAGATGGTGACTGCAGCCATGAAATTAAAAGACACTTGCTGCTTGGAAGAAAAGCTATGAAAAACCTAGACGGCATATTAAAAAGCAGAGACCTTACTTTGGCAACAAAGGTCCATCCAGTCAAAGCTATGGTTTTTCCAGTAATCATGTATAAATGTGACAGTTGGGCCATAAAGAGGGCTGAGTGCTGAAGAAATGATGCTCTTCAACTGTGGTGTTGGAGAAGACTCTTAAGAGTCCCTTGGACTGCAAGGAGATCAAACCAGTCCATCCTAAAGGAAATCAACCCTGAATATTCATTGGAAGGACTGATGCTGAAACTGAAGCGCCAGTACTTTGGCCACTTGATGCAAAGAGCCTACTCATTGGAAAAGACCCCTGGGAAAAATAGAAAGCAGGAGGAGAAGGTGACGACAGAGGATGAGATGGTAGGATGGTATCACCAACTTGATGGACATGAGTCTGAGCAAGCTCTGGGAGATAATGGAGGATGAGGAAGCCTGAAGTGCTGCAGTTGCAGAGTTGGACATGACGAGTGACTGAACAGCAACACCAGTGTCTAGACGCAGACTATTTTTTTTTTTCTCATCTTACTTAGCATTCATTGGGCCTTTCTATAACAGAATTGTTAAGCAATTAAAAAGAATTCTCAGCCACTGTCTTTTCAACTATTTTCTCCTCCCCTCTGTTACTCTTTCTGGAACTTTAGACATATGCTAGAGGTTTGCACTTCTCTTTCCTGTTCCCCATCTCTGTTTCTTGCTGAGCTACAGTTCAGATAATTTGGGGGGCTTCATCTTTTAGTCCCCTAGTTTTTATTCAGCTGTGTATATGATAGGCTGCTTATCCTTGCCATTAAAATGTTCATTTTCAGCTTATATTTTTCATGCCTTGGCGTTCTAGATAGATATTTCTTTTTCAAATTTGCTTTCCTGTGTAATCTTTCAGAAATTTTGCTCATATTTTAGAGCTTTTCTTTATAAAAATATATGAGACAGTAGTTTTCTAATGTGTGTGCTTGATCATTCCAATCCCTGGATTCTTCTGGGTGGGCCTGATTAAGCTGTGTCCGCTGGCTCTTGCTCTTCATCTCCTGTCGTTGTTCTACTTTCTGTGATTTTTCTGAGTGCTCTTGCTCCTGGGGACTTCACCTGTGACAGTCTGCAAGTCCTGTTAAGGTTGTGGGCTCCTCAGTAAGGCTTTGCATTAGCTTTTGCCTACTTGCTAGAGATTCATACTGACTCAGGGCCACTCTGTTTAAGGTATTTTTGGACTATGTAGGTGACAGATTAGGGAGGCCTGGCTCTCGGTTACAAAATCTCAGGATAGCTGGAGATGAGTTTTCCCTATCTAGTGCCAAAGTCCCAGCTTCATGTGGGGGTTTGCTGTTAGACACCCCCACTTGGGTGGGTCACTGGCTTTATTCTCTTTAACACATATCAGAACCTCAGCATGCCCAGAACCCAGCTGATACCTGCGAGGGAAAACGACCCTCAGGGACCTTCTCTCCCAGGTTCTCACTTTCCATTTTTGTCTTTGTAAGCTCCACGTTTTGTGCCAGTTTAGCAGTACATTAAAAAGCTTTTAAAGATATTTTATGCAGTATTTTTAGATAGCTTCAGCCCGTTGGGTGTGTAATTACCATCCTGCAGGAAACCAGAGTCACGATGATCTTACGTTTTATCTGTCTCTGTGATGCTTTAGAATCCTTAAAATAGCTTCCCTGGAATTGCTTATGACAGTTTTGAAATGTTTTGGAGGTCTGAATATTGATTCTTTTTTAAAAGAATTAATTTATTGGCTGCACAGAGTCTTTGCTGCTGCTCAGTGGCCTTCCTCTGCTCTCCGCAGCGCGGGCTTCTCGTTTGCGGGGGCCCCTCCTGCCGCAGAGCACAGGCCCCAGGCCTGCAGGCTTAGTGGCTGCAGCACACTGACGGCACTTGTGGTGTCCGGGCTTAGTTGCCTTGTGGCACGTGGGGTCTTCCTAGACCAGGGATTGAACTCCCGTCCCCTGCATTGGCAGGTGAATTCTTCTTCTTTTTTTTTTTTTTTACTTTACAACATTGCAGTGGGTTTTGTCATACATTGAGATGAATTAGCCATGGATTTACATGTATTCCCCATCCCGGTCCCCCCTCCCACCTCCCTCTCCACCCGATCCCTCTGGGTCTTCCCAATGCACCAGGCCCGAGCACTTGTCTCATGCTCCCAACCTGGGCTGGTGATCTGTTTCACCCTAGATAATATACATGTTTCGATGCTGTTCTCTTGAAACATCCCACCCTCGCCTTCTCCCACAGAGTCCACAAGTCTGTTCTATACATCTGAGTCTCTTTTTCTGTTTTGCATATAGGGTTATCGTTACCATTTTTCTAAATTCCATATATATGTGTTAGTATACTGTAATGGTCTTTATCTTTCTGGCTTACTTCGCCCTGTATAATGGGCTCCAGTTTCATCCATCTCATTAGAACTGATTCAAATGAATTCTTTTTAATGGGTGAGTAATATTCCATGGTGTATATGTACCACAGCTTCCTTATCCATTCGTCTGCTGATGGGCATCTAGGTTGCTTCCATGTCCTAGCTATTATAAACAGTGCTGCGATGAACATTGGGGTGCACGTGTCTCTTTCAGATCTGGTTTCCTCAGTGTGTATGCCCAGAAGTGGGATTGCTGGGTCATATGGCAGTTCTATTTCCAGCTTTTTAAGAAATCTCCACACTGTTTTCCATAGTGGCTCTACTAATTTGCATTCCCACCAACAGGGTAAGAGGGTTCCCTTTTCTCCACACCCTCTCCAGCATTTATTGCTTGTAGACTTTTGGATAGCAGCCATCCTGACTGGCATGTAATGGTACCTCATTGTGGTTTTGGCAGGTGGATTCTTAACCAGTGGGCCACCAGGGAAGTTCCCCCCCCCCCGATATTGATTATTAATTGTTTATGGTTAATAAAAGATTTGATTGCTCCACATGGAATTATTGTTTTGGGGCGTGCTATGCTAAGTCACTTCAGTCATGTCTGACTCTTTGCGACCCCATGGACTGTAGCCCCGCCAGGCTTCCCTGTCCCTGGGATTCTCCAGGCAAGAATGCTGGAGTGGGTTGCCGTGCCCGCCTCCAGGGGATCTTCCTGACCCAGGGATCAAACCCGTGTCTCAGGTCTCTCGCCTTGGCAGGCAGGTTCTGTACCACTAGCGCCACCTATTGGGAAGCCTGCAGAATGCTGCCATGTAGATGTGGTTCAGTGTGATGTTCTCGGAGAAGGGGAGGTGTAGCTTTCCCTGGAGGCATGGCGCACCTCCGTGGACGGTGGTTGTTGGCTCTCATTCACTCCGGTTTCCTGTGTGACAGATCGCGCTCTACATCTGGGACGGAGGGGACGGACTCCCGCTCACGCCCGTGCCCGAGTTCTGTACAGACAGGGTGGGCTCCTCCTGCGCCACCTCGTTCCAGTCTTCCCTGCCGCTCTGTGTGAGTAACAGGACAGCTTTCTCGTGTGCTAAAGGGAAATATACATGCCGTGCGTGATGTTGCCCTAGCAGTTCACACACTGAACAAACACCGACACCTGCCACCTGCCCCGTGAGAACTGTATGTCACGTTTCTGGGGATGATAACCCCGTAAGGTGAGCACCACTGTTCCCCTACTGGACACACGAGAAGCGAGCACCTGGAGCTGCAGAGGCATGGCCCTTGGGTCAGTTCTTTGGTTGAAGGAATAGCACAGAGCTGCTGCAATTCCTGGTCTGTTTCCTAGAAAGGCAATGTCAGACATTTCCAGTTGTTCCTAAGCCCTCTCCTGAAGCCCATCTCTACCCACGTCTCAGCCAGTGACCCCGCTCTGACCTCACCTGAGACTGTCCACAACTTTCAGAATGCATCTGCTCATGGTGGGCCCTCGGTCCAGTCCCCAGGATGAACCTGAAGACCACGCAGCTGGGTGGTTAGCCGTCCTTCCTCATAAGGAAAAGCAGATTCACTGCCTCACCTGTTGTCCCTTATTTCCAAGTCACTGACACAGAAGTCTGGGTTGAATTTTCAAAGAGGAGTATGTGTATTCACACACACACACACACACACACACACACACACACTAACAGTGGGAGAGACTCTGTACTGTTGGCATAGTACTTGAGAGGGAAATGTCTTTCCAGACATTGTCATTGTGCTTGCTTGTTTCTTTAATGTTCTTCTGGAAAATCTGGAAGGGTTGACCTCCTAGTGCCTTGAATGGCATGACGAAACTACAGTTGCATGTCACTGTAAACCAGCCCCAGATGATGCAGAATCAGGATTGAATGTCCCTAAAGCCCTGAGATGGTGATAAAGGGGGTCAGCCCCTGCCCCGGCCCCCAATGTGAAGCGCCCACAGCCTAGGGGGTGGATTGTCCACAAGCGCCTCTGTGACCCCTTCACTTGAGTGACCAGCCTGGGCTGGAGCCAGCGCAGGGCTCCAGGAACCCCCCAGATGTTTGACGTAATCCTGCCTTTGGCAGAGGACAGAGTACCACTGTTGCCTAGACTTGCGTGGACCATTAAGGGCCATAAAGATACTGTAAACATCAAAGTGAGGCAAGGCTCCCTAAAGGGAGTCACTGAAACATCCTTCTACTTCTCTCTCCCTTTTAAAACAATTTTCACCAGCTAGAAAAAAGAAAGGGAAGGTAACCAACACTTACTGGGCACCTGTGATGTTCATAATAAATAGTCGTAATAAAAGCAGCTGTGCTGGTGGTTATCATCCCAATTTCCTGAATGAGCTGGAATTTAGAGGACATTCGTCCAGGTGATGCAGGGGGGATGGCACGGCCGGGATTCTAGTCTCCGTCTGGCTATGAGTGAGTGAAAGTCGTTCAAGTCATGTCTGACTCTGCGACCCCGTGGACTACACGGGCCATGGAATTCTCCAGGCCAGAATACTGGAGTGGGTAGCCTTTCCCTTCCCCAGGGAATCTTCCCAACCCAGGGATCGAACCCAGGTCTCCCGCATTGCAGGCAGATTCTTTACCAGCTGAGCCACCAGAGAAGCCCAAGAATGCTGGAGTGGGTAGCCTATTCCTTCTCCAGCGGATCTTCCCAACCCAGGAATCTAACTGGGGTCTCCTGCATTGCAGGTGGATTCTTTACTAACTGAGCTATCAGGGATGACCACCCCACCCCACCCCTCTGGCTGAGCAGAGCATTTGTGGTCCTCGGAGATACAGTCGTCCCCTGAAACTTGATTCTGGAGACAAGTTTGATGTTCTTGACATTGGTGAATTTGAACTCGAGAGCATGTGACAACTAATTTGGGTGTGCTGTTAAGATACATCGACTCACGTTATGCATTTTTTTTTTTAAAGGGAAATCCAGTGAAGAAGGAGGATATTTTTGTTGCAGTGAAAACATGCAAGAAGTTTCATGGTGATAGAAGTACGTTTTGGATTATTCATTTTTATTGAACTTTAAAAATCCACACTGCCTTTAAAAAAAAAAGGACAAATCAGATGTGAGCTCAACTCAAGAAGGGGATAATGACAGATATATTATTGGAAGTGCAAGCACTTATATAATCAGTCTTCCTCCTTATAGCACTTCAGTCACCAAGATCAATTAGAAAAGACAATTTTGTGTTGCAACATGAGAGGCCGTGGCCCTTCTAAGGAGTGATTAGAGCAGTGTTTTAAATTGGAAATGGAAATGCTCAGCTGTGGCAATCTTGGAGACTGTAAGTGGATAATAATCCATTTTGCAAAAGAGTGTCCTGTTATGTCCAAATGTGGACTCCAAGCTGTGAAGAATGAGAGGGGATTTCTCAAGGTAACGGAATGTCAAAAAGAATGTCTTTCTCACGCTGTTCCTTATTTTTATATTCATTTCACACTCACATATCAGAACTTTTAAGTAAGGATGTGTATTTGCTCATGTGTAAATATACAGAGAAAAGTAAAAAATGTTTGTCTTACAAGCCATGGCTCCTTCTTAAGGAAATCCTGCACATAGATGTTTCTATTTAATTTTTTGATGCCGTTACAGAATTCTGCATTATGGTGATACTGTTTTTTAAATAGTCTACCTTAAATATAAATACATAATTTATCTGTTTTTTCACCTTACTTCAAACAGCACTTTTCTCAAATTGAGGATTAGACAGTCTTTTGCATTTTCTAATTTTAGCACATATTTTATTTTTTTTTCCCATGAAAAGACTCTCAGTTTTACCAAGAGTGTGATATTTATAGAGGAGAGATTTCTAAACCAGCTGTCATTTTTGTTGGATTAGAGCTAAGGGGGGAGTTCATTTATATAATTTATGTGATAATATGATATTTACAAATGATGCTTTAAAGAGGAACATATTTTACAGATAAAAGAATACTATAATTTGGAATTATGGCATTGTTTAAAACACTGACATCAATTCAGGTCTGGTTATAGTCAACACTATCTTAAAAGTAAGTTTGCTATAAACCTTCATGGTTACCTAAAATAGTCACAATAAATTCTAAGTCCTATTAAAATCAGTCTAAATAAATATATGCATTCATCATACAAGAAGTCCTAAAATACTATTAAAAATCAATATAGAACTTAAAAATTTCACTTATCATAAATTTAACCAAGGTTTAATATCCTTTTGTTTTTTACATAATCTGGAGGGATGATTTTTGATAAATACCTTTCATTTAAAAAGTGTCAAGAGAACTGAACTAGACTGCTTTTCTTTTTTTTTTAAACAGCAAGCAGAAGTGCTCAAATTGATTTATTTGATCTTGAAGCTGCCCTTGGAGTATATATCAGTGTTAGGAATGGGGATGGTGGTATATTCTCTTTTGAAACACATTTTTCAAGTTGGCAGTAAAGTGGTAACATTAGGGATGGTCTCTGTTGTAGTTTTCATATTCTACAGAAATGAAAAAAAGAGTTAGCTAATTTTAATATGGTCATTCTGAATAATCTAGATTACTGCTTTCTTATTTTGCATAAGGTTATGATAATCCTTTCAGATATTTATCAAATGCTTTTATATTTCAATTTTGAGTCAAAGGTTTTATAAAAATTATAAAATTCCAAGTCTGTTAGGAGCATAAAGACCAAACCTCCCCAAACCAGATGTACTGATTTACTGCTGTTAATTGGGTTTGGGGTCATTGAAGCCTGAGATCTAAAAGATATCTTGAGAACTTCACAGTGGAGTTGCTGTGGCAGGCTGTCTTTAAACTTGGACCTGTTTGTTTGGAAAGATAATATAAGGTGGCTGGATTTTAGGGACTCTGATGTCCATGTTGCCTGATGGACGTGAAGTCTACCAGACCAGGGGGCTCTGGCCCCCCTTTTGGAAACCTAGTTCTGCCACCAGTTGGTCAAGAGAATTACCCAGTAATCGTATTAGTTTCAGCCGACAATGCCACAGTAACTGCTTCTAATTGCTAATCCTTTTTTTTTTAAAACACATTTTCTGGTGTTTTTCACATTTTTTTTAAAAGTAGCAGTTTATTTATTTATATTTGGCTGTGCCAGGTCTTTGTCTCCGGGTGCGGGCTTTCTCTAGCTGCAGCAATCGGGGGCTACTCTCTAGGTGTGGTGCAGAGGCTTCTCCCTGCAGTAGTTGGGGGCACAGGCTCCAGGGCGTGGGCTCAGTAATTGCAGCATGTGGGCTTCAGAGCACCGGCTTCAGTAGTTGTGGTGCATGGGCTTAGCTGTCCCACGGCATGTGGAATCTTCCCAGACTAGGGATCGAACTCATGCCTCCTGCATTAGCAGGTGGATTCTTAGCCACTGGACCACTAGGGAAGTCCCTTTCACCTGTATTCTGTCATCTGATTTCATGTTGACAGTTCCCTGTGATGTGGTTGTGATTGTTGTCCACTTGGTATCGTAGAGAAAGAAAGCTCACCATGGGACAACACACTGGCCCCACTTCATGCAGACTGAGCAGGGGTGCGGGCGCTCAGGTCTTCTGGCTCCAAATGCCCAGTTCTTTCTGCCACAGCGGAGCTGTGCTGTCAGCTCTGCGTGTGTGTGTGTGTGTGTGTGTGTGTGTGTGTGTCTCTGTGTGTGCGCGCGTGTGCACGCATGCGTGCTCAGTCACGGTCATATCTGACTCTGCGACCCCGTGGACCCCATGGGATTTCCCAGGCAAGAATACTGGAGTGGGTTGCCATTTCCTCCTCCAGGGGATCTTTCCTGACCCAGGGATTGAATCCACATCCCCTGCATTGGCAGGTGGATTCTTTACCACTGTGCCACCTGAGAAATTTTTTGGATGTGTTCGGAACATAACGCTTGATAAATAGTGTTTGATAGCTGTGTTGCTTCTCTGCTGTGCTCAAGGTCAGATCTAACTTGGCTGGAAGCAGTCACAGGAGGCTCTTTACTTTCAATAGCAGTGAGGACGGCCAGGACTTCAAGTCCGCAGATGAGCTGAAACACACGTGGAGCTGGGGGGTCAGATGGCTCCCGTCCTCGCATATTACTGCGTTCCGTTCAAGCAGAATGCATGGACTTGGGGGCTCTGTTTTTCTTTCTGTACGTACTCGGGTACAAACACTTGAAGTTCCAGGCACCAGACAACAGTGAAGCAAGAAATAGACACAGTCAAGGCTGTGCTTGTCTCTGAGCAGTTGAGAGTCGACTGCACTGTCAGTGACTTCCCTGGACTTCACTGTGTATGCCCTGGGTTCTGACTGGAGCAGACACTCGTCACGCCCCAGTCCTGGCTCCTCCAGGGGCGAGGATGTGAGGGGTAGAACAGTCCGGCCAACGCTCTGGTCAAGGTGAGGGAACGTACACGCTGAACTCATTTTTCATACTCTTGGAAGAACTGATAATACAGCCACACTTCAAAATTAGAAAAAATTATTTTACATCTTACACTTTTTTTTTTTTTTTTGTCTAACAGTAAAGCAGACCTTTACATAACTACTTGTGTCTTGATTCTGATTTAGATGAATTAAAGCATCTCAGGACACAGTTAGCAAAAATATACTCTTGTCTCTTGGCTTAAGAAAGCAGTACATGTCGACAGCATCAAACAAGCATGGTTTGCTGAGATGCAAGTGGTTGGTAGGGTTTTAAAGAAACTTTGGAGGTATTATATAAAGCAATAAACTGCATGTGAGGTTAGGTTTAAGCAAGGAAAAGCTCTCTGGAGTTAATAAAGCAGCTTCATTACTTCCTCCTGGGTTACGTATTTTTCCTCATGTGATGTGTGCTGTCAACAAAAAATGTTAAAGGTTTTCTGTGTGTCCTTCAGCCATGGGCTTCCTGTGTGGGTCCCACATACGTCGTGGCCCCCGTTTCTGTTTGTCAGCTGGTTGTGAGGTGTTCCCCTCCTGCTGTCTTCCTCTAAGTAGAGAGGTTAAATTGCCATTTGCTCAGCCTTTAGTCCTTATCGCAGCCTCCTGAGCTCCTAAAATAAACACTTGACACCTTTCAGCTTAAAAAAAAAACTGGTAACTTGACTATACTGATCTTCTCCAGATGTGAACACACTGATGCTAAAGAGTGTGTTTCCTCTAGTTGGAGAAGTTTATTGAAAACAGGAGGTTGAATCAAACTACAGTCAGCCAACTGGCAGGCCATATCCTGTGTTAGATGAAGTGAGTGAGTTAATTATTTTTTTAAGTTAATTTTTATCGGAGTTTAGTTGCTCTACAACTCGTGTTCCCACTTTACAGTTGTGTTCCCACTGAATAGCAAAGTGAATCAGCTATATGTATACACCTAGCCTGTCTTCATGGGTTTCCCTACTGTTCAGGCCATCTCAGAGCATTGAGTAGAGTTCCCTGTGCTATACGGTTGGTTCTCCTTAAGTTCAGTTCAGTTCGGTCACTCAGTCGTGTCCAACTCTTTGCAACCCCATGAACCACAGCACGCCAGGCTTCCCTGTCCATCACCAACTCCCGGAGTCCACCCAAACCCATGTCCATTGTGTTGGTGATGCCATCCAACCATCTCATCCTCTGTCGTCCCCTTCTCTTCCTGCCCTCAATCTTTCCCAGCATCAGGGTCTTTTCAAATGAGGCAGCTCTTCGCATCAGGTGGCCAAAGTATTGGAGTTTCAGCTTCAACATCAGTCCTTCCAATGAACACCTAAGACTAATATCCTTTAGGATGGACTGGTTGGATCTCCTTGCAGTCCAAGGGACTCTCAAGAGTCTTCTTCAACACCACATTTCAAAAGCATCAATTCTTCTGTGCTCAGCTTTCCTTATAGTCCAACTCTCACATCCATACATGACTACTGGAAAAATCATAGCTTTGACTAGACGGACCTTTGTTAGCAAAGTAATATCTCTGCTTTTTAATATGCTGTCTAGGTTGGTCATAACTTTGCTTCCAAAGAGTAAGCGTCTTTTAATTTCATGGCTGAAATCACCATCTGCAGTCATTTTGGAACCCAGAAAAATAAAGTCAGCTACTGTTCTCACTATTTCCTCATCTATTTGCCATGAAGTGATGGGACTGGATGCCATGGTCTTAGTCTGCTGAATGTTGAACTTTTGTTAGCGTGTGAGATGAGTGGAATTGTGTGGTAGTTTGAGCATTCTTTGGGATTGCCTTTCTTTGGGATTGGAATGAAAGCTGACCTTTTCCAGTCCTGTGGCCACTGCTGAGTTTTCCAAATTTGCTGGCATATTGAGTGCAGCACTTTCACAGCATCATCTTTCAGGATTTGAAATAGCTCAACTGGAATTCCATCACATCCACTAGCTTTGTTTGTAGTGATGCTTCCTAAGGCCCACTTGATTTCACATTCCAGGATGTTTGGCTCTAGATGAGTGGTCACACCATCAAGATTATCTGGGTTGTGAAGATCTTTTTTGTACAGTTCTTCTGTGTATTCTTGCCACTTCTTCTTAATATCTTCTGCTTCTGTTAGGTTCCTACCATTTCTGTCCTTTATTGAGCCCATATTTGCATGAAATGTTCCCTTGGCATCTCTAATTTTCTTAAAGAGATCTCTAGTCTTTCCCATTCTATTATTTTCCTCCATTTCTTTGCATTGATCACTGAGGAAGGCTTTCTTATCTCACCTGGCTATTCTTTGGAACTCTGTATTCAAATGGGTATATCTTTCCTTTTCTCCTTTGCTTTTGGCTTCTCTTCTTTTCACAGCTATTTGTAAGGCCTCCTCAGACAGCTATTTTGCTTTTTTTGCATTTCTTTTTCTTGGGGATGGTCTTGATTCCTGTCTCCTGTATAATGTCACAAACCTCCGTCCATAGTTCATCAGGCATTCTCTCTATCAGATCTAGTCCCTTAAATGTATTTCTCACTTCCACTGTATAGTCATAAGGGATTTTATTTAGGTCATACCTGAATGGTCTAGTGGTTTTCCCCACTTTCTTCAGTCTGAATTTAGCAATAAGGAGTTCATGATCTGAGCCACAGTCAGCTCCCAGTCTTGTTTTTGCTGACTGTATAGAGCTTCTCCATCTTTGGCTACAAAGAATATAATCAGTCTGATTTTGGTGTTGACCAACTGGTGATGTCCATGTGTAGAGTCTCCTCGTGTTGTTGGAAGAGGGTGTTTGCTATGACCAGAGCATTCTCTTGGCAGCTTCTCCTTAGGTATCTATTTTATGCAGTGTCAATAGTGCATATGTGTCGATCCCAATTTCCCAGTTCTTCCCACTCATGGACTGTTACTCAGCCATAAGGAAGAATGAAATTAGGTCGTTGTAGAGATGTGGCTGAACCCTAGAGACTGTCGTAAAGGGTGAAGTAAGTCAGGAAGAGAGAAGTATTCTGTATTAATGCATATATGTGGAATCTAGGAAAACTGTACTGATGATCTCATTCACAAGGCAGAAGTAGAGACATGACGTAGAGAACAAACGCCCAGAGTGGCTTAATTCCTGATGAAAGTTTAGTTCTCTCCCAGCTGCCGTGCAGGTGAAGACGGGGGGCCAGAGTGCCCTGGCACTACTGTGTCAGGTAGCCTTTCCGTTTACAAACACCCCATCCCCAAACCAGGGATCAGAGCACAGCCTTGGTGTTGTCGCTAAGCCTCTCAAGAAAGGAGAAACCAGGGCTTTCCTGTGTGCTACTGACCTTCACACCGAGACAGAAGGTCCGTTTGTTAGTTGGAAAACGGCGGATTCCTTAAATAAGAACAGTCATGCACATCAGGTTGTGTGGAAGATTTTGCTCAAGGGTCAGTTCCTTTTCGTTTGTAATCAGAGTTTTGCACGTCAACCTGCCGGGAGTAGAAGGGACTTCTCTGCATCTCCCTCTTCTCAGTGGTGCAGCCAGGTGGAAGATGTATGCCATCTGGGTGGATGGCTTTTTTTTTTAATAGTACGGTTCTTTTTACTTTATCCTAATTTTAAATTATCTGTGGCAAACATTCTTGAAAGAGACATTCACTATTGTTTTATTACGTGGGAGGGAGTATGCTTCTCTTGTGTTGAAAATGAAATAGTAGATCACATAACTATATTGAAATATTTTCTCCAAGTTTAATATCTTTAGGAATAGAGTATCTTAATATAATATGAAATACAAATAATAGAAAGAATTCAGTTGTTCACTATTCAAACAGTGATGATAAAACAGACCAAAATTTCTAAAGTTTTAAGCAGTTTTGCATCAACTCTGGTTTAAAATAGTCTTCATATGCTGTTGTAGAAGACGTCTCCTTGACCTCAGTTCTTTGCACAGGCATTACTGTGATGAGGACTGGATAGGTGTTAACAGTGTTCACTGTTGGATGCTTTTGGGCTTCGAGACTCAGCACGTGTTGCTGTGCTGAAATGGCCGGCCCATTTTAGAATGATTGGTTTCCCAGGCGGCGCTAGTGGTGTAGAACTTGCCTGCCAGTGCGGAGATTTAAGAGATGCAGACTTGATCCCTGGGTCGGGAAGATCCCCTGGAGGAGGAAATGGCAACCCACTCCAGTCTTCTTGCCTGGAGAATCCCATGGACAGAGGAGCCTGGTGGGCTACAGTCCATGGGGTCACCAAGAGTTAGACGTGACTGAAGCAGCTTAACGTGGTCTTGTACAAAGGCTGAATCACTGATAGAGGTAAAACTCCTTCCTTTAAACCAGTTCCAGAAGGAGCCCTCAGCCTTTTGGAATCCCCACAGCACCCGGTCTTCAGTCAGCTATTCACTGAGCACTTACTGTGTCTCAGGTCGTGTGGGGTGCTGGGCTCTGAGAAATTCTTACCTCTGGTAACATTGCTGTCTCATCTGTTTCAAACCAAAACAGGAAAAAAGTAGGTTAGGTGTGTTGTTCAGTCACTCAGTCGTGTCTGATTCTTTGTGACTCCATGGACTGTAGCCCACCAGGCTCCTCTGTCCATGGGATTCTCCAGGCAAGAGTACTGGAGTGGGTAGCCGTTCCCTTCTCCAGAGGATCTTCCTGACCAAGGGATTGAACCCTGGTCTCCTGCACTGCAGGCAGATTCTTTACCATTGAGCCACCAGGGCAGCCCGTCTTGTCTGGATAAGTCCTGCTTATTATGTGCAAAGCCAAGGGCCACCACAAGGCCAAGCTTGGGTTTTCTTGTGCTGGAATTTGGACAGAATAAGAATTTTTCCTTCTTTTTTCTTTTATTCTCCCTTGGCAACCTTATCTATTATTATTATTATTTCAAAATTATTTATTTTTAATTGGAGGATAATTTACAGTGTTGTGTTGGTTTTTGACATACATCTGCATGGACCAGCCATGTCCCCTCCATCCTGAGCCTCGCTCCCACCTCCCACCTCATCCCACCCCTCCAGGTTGTCACAGAGCCCCAGGCTGGGCTCCTGTGTCATAGAGCACCTTCCCATTCGCTGTCTGTTTTACTTACGGTAATGCGTATGTTTCAGCACTGCCCTTTCAATGCCTTCCACCCTCTCCTGCCCCCAACCTTATCATTTACGCATCTTTGTCCATTCTGGCATGGAGAAATCTTTATATCTGCCTTTTTTTAATGATGGCAGAAAATTGTATTTTAATATATAAAATAATATTTAATGGCTTAAAATAGGTAATTTGGAGGTTACCATAGCAAATGTCCAGAATTCGTAAGTCTCTTCTTTTTTAAGAGCTGGTCAATAGTGGACTATGGAATGGTGTACTTTTGTATTTTCTGTATATGGGCTATCTGAGTTTGTCTCCCAACTTGCTGACTAGCATAGCTAGACACTTTGACATCATGTGGGTAGTTTTTGTGTATCATTTATTTTTATTTAGGTTGGGGGAAGAAAAAAGATAAATGATTTAATAAAGGTTCAAAATATTGACCTGAAGATTTGGTTCATCAGAGTTGAGATTCTTAAATCAACAGTACAAGATCTAGTTTTTTAATGTTGATCTTTTCTATTAAAACAGTGGAATCCCTTTAAAATTGAGATGCACAGGTAGTAACTTTAAAAAAAATTATAGAAGAAAGTAATTACTGAGATAGTTGGTCAAGTAAATTAGTATCAAATCGTGGTCAAGCTGATTTCTCTGTGTTGGATGTGGAGTCACAGCTACCTTTGAGCATCTCACCCTAAAATACAGAAAATCAGCCAAGTTTTCTGCTATTTGTGTTTATTAAAGTAATTTATCTGTTCATGATACAGTTTTAGAATCTGCAGTGGTTTTCAATTTTATTTCTTTCTACACTTTCCAAAAGTGCAACACAATACTATCAGCCATCACATGTAGTGATTTTTTAAAATTAATTCATTTTATTTGGAGGCTAATTACTTTATAATATTGTGGTGGTCTTTGCCATACATTGACATGAATCAGCCACTGGTGTACATGTACTGATTCTTAATGGCAGGGTCATGGCCTTTATAGGGTTGGGTGGTCCTGTTGGCATCTTTGGGTGGAGACGTGTAGTTTGAAAAGGTTCCCCTCCACTGTGAGGGAGGCAAGTATACATCTCAGCTAGAACCACACAGAATATTACAGCCCTTAGAAGTAATTGTATCCCCACACCCCTAAAAAGCATCTAAAACTCCAGTTGTGAATTTTAAATAAAGCAGCCTTGGAAAAGAGAAAAATTATTTAAAATTAACTTCTACACAGCAGTCTAATCTGACTAGACAGTGTATCTTTCTGTGGAAGCAGTGTGTTTATCACCAGCAATGAGGAGGGCCTGTGCTGTTGGCGTTTCTCAGGGTAGAAAGGGAGCTCTAAGCCTTGGAACACCTGGAGAAGAACGTGTGCTGGTTCCCTTCCTTTTTGGGAGGTCATCCCGTCATGCTGGGATTCCAGCTTCTTGGGTGACTGTGCCAGTGATGGTCCCCTCTCTCGTTTTTTCAGTCCCCATCGTGAAGCAGACTTGGGCGGGGCAGGCAGGTCGCCTCGAATACTACAGTGATTACGCAGACAGCTCCATTCCGACGGTGGATCTGGGGATTCCTAACACAGATAGAGGTGAGTCCTCAGTCCCGACTGATCCTCTTACTCAGAGTGTCCATTCTATAAATACAGTAGCTTAGGATAAAAATGAGGCATTTTATAAATACTGTAATTTTTCCCTCATGTAACTTTCTTTCCTTCCTCCTCACATCTTTATCCATGGATGTGGACTGATTCTTGCAGTTTAAGCACTGCTTTTAGTATTAACAAAGGCTCTTAATTTTTGGCTGGTCATACATAAGTGGCTGACACGCATGACGAATATGCACAGGACAGGTACGGCAGAGTGGAACAGCAGGTCTTCTGCACCTTCGTGACTCACTGTGGCCACAGTGGGGTGCCTGTGTCTTAGGCACGTCCCACTCTTTGCGACCCCATGGACTGTAGCCGTCCAGGCTCCTCTGTCCCTGGGATTCTTGAGGCAAAATTACCAGAGTGGCTTGCCATTCCCTTCTCCAGGGGATCTTCCTGACTCAGGGATCAAACCTAGGTTTCCTGCATTGCAGACGATTCTTTACCATCTGAGCCAGCAGGGAAGCCCCCCTCCCAGAGTTAACTGTTCATATTCCCATGCAAAGTGTCTCTTCATTTAATTTTAGCTATTTATTCAGCCAGTAGTATTATCCGACTGTGGTGTGCTGGCCCCTGCTAGACACTGAGGGAAACAGGAATGAAGCTGATGGTTCCCATCCTCCAGAAGCTTATGGTCTGTTATGGTCCAGGATGCATTTCGTTTGTACTTCTGAGTAGCACTTAACCACATTCTACATGGGACATATGTAGTATAAGCTCATATAGGTATATATAATATGTAAGTAAATTGTTGAAGTACACTTGTTTTTCTCTTCAGATTGCAGGCTTTCTAATTCAAAACATTTTTTATTTCAAAAAATTAGAAGTATAAATTTGGCCACCTCACCTTCAGATGCTCTTTATTCATCTTAATTTTTATCAGTTGTTCCTGCCACATTTTTCTTTAGTTTTCTGGTTCCCCCCAAACCTTTTTATGAAAAAAAGAGTAGTAAGTTGATGATCTTGTTCTATAATTTATCTTGATTAGTTTATGATACTGTCACTCATAATGCCTTGACTGATAAAGTACAGAGTAGAATCAGATATGCCATCCTATAGTATTGATTATTCTGGCAAGATTAGTATATATATGTCACGAAGTCTGTCTGTTGCTGTCTGTTTTGGAAAAATGATTTCGGATCATTTTGAATTTTCTTTTTGAATTTTGAATGATTTTGAATTTTCTTTTTTTTTGTTTATCTTGCTTTTTAGACTCTAAATTGACTCTAATACTCATATGTTGATGCATTCTTGATTTGTTTTATTTTCAGTCTGACCTTATTGTTGCTTATATTTATAGTCTACCTTATCCAAAAGGAATTTGAGATGGCTTTCAAAAATATATACCATAAATAAATGTATTATGGTAACCATAGTAAAATGGTTAAAAATACCAAAGTGATCAAGAATAAGAAAAGTAAGGGTTAAATTGAGTGCTTTGTTCTCTAATGTGTCACTTAATACTTTGTTGAATTGAGGGGTTTATTCTTATTTATCGACTTTCGTTCTCTTCCCAAGCGTTTATTGCTGTCCTGGCCTCAGCATTTTCCATTAAACGTTTGCTATCTGTTGGCATCTAAGGGACTGTGCCTCTGATAGCATTGTATCTTTAGTGTACATCCTAGAACTGGCCACCATGTCTGCATATTAGAAACACAATAGCAAATATTTACAAAATAAATAATTGACAGTATAATATTGTATCTTGCACCATTGTTTCCCTAAGGTTGTGATGCCTGAGGTTCTAATATTTCTTTCAGAATAAGGAGGTCTAAGGAAAGAAGCCAGGCTCCTGTAATTTCTGCAAGACTTAACGAATTTCTTATGTGTCTGGCGTGAACTGTAGTGTTTCCTGTACCTGACTTTGTGTAATTCCCCTCACCTCTCTAGGTCTTCAGTCCCTCGTGTATGAATTGAATGACTGACTTCCATGATTTTTATCGTTCCCCCTGGTTCACTAAGTCCATGGAAATTAGAAAAGGCTGATTTTCAAATTCTTAAGTGCATACCAATGTTTAAACTTTGACTCACAATGTTTTAAGGAAAGTAATACATTGTAAGTTTCTTCTTTCCTAGGTCATTGTGGAAAGACATTTGCCATTTTGGAGAGATTTCTAAATCACAGCCATGACAAAATACCATGGTTGGTCATTGTGGATGATGACACATTAATAAGGTAAGGGGTCCCCTTGTCCTCAGGTAGCTTTAAATTCTACATGTATTCATAGTCAGAAACTAGGATGGGCACTTCTGTTGCTGGCCAGCATGTAGAAACAGGGCCTGGATTTTACCCTCACATCTGAAACAACGCCCCCTCCAAAGGACACAGTATCTGAAATGAGTTATTTTTAAAACACGGACGGGAGACAATACAGTATAATATGTATAATAATTCAAACCTAAAATAATTTTAATGTTGAAATCAAACATCAGTCATATCACTAAATGTGAGTGGGTTTAACTTAACCTAGTAAAAAAACAAACTTTTCAGAGTGCTTCATAAAACAAACCCCAAATCTATGCTTTATATGAAAGACACATAAACATAGTCATTCAAAAAGTCTAATGATAAAGGGGTGGGTAAGGTTTTCCAAGCCAGTGGGAACAATAAAAATAAAAAATTCAGTTCCCAACTCAAGCTAGGAAAAGAATCACAAAGTCAACCTACATAAACAAGGAAGAAAATAATAATAAACATACATGCAGAAATAATGAGGTAGAGGTCAAAAAAGCAGAGGATCAAACGAAAGAGCCAAAATTTTGGTTCCTTGAAAAAAAAATCAACAAATTGTATCAAGTGATTTCCAGTAGATACCATTACGTGGAAAAAGCCAAGTGCATAAGAATGTATTTTGTTTGCTTCCCTGTAAGAAAGAAAGGGAAATAAAACATACCCATGTGGACTTAGCTGTTCAAAAAAAAGTGGGCAGATAAACTGGAAATCCATGCAGTAGCTCCCACAGAGGGGTGGGTGGGAGTGTGGGGTAGATGGAGTCGGGGTATGTGTGCCCCTTTTCTGTCTGTTTAGTTTTGACTTTGGGAAGTGTGCTCATATTTTACCTATTGACAAATAAAATGAATCTATAAGGACGGGAAAAATCAATAAGGATGAGGAGAAAGCTGAAACAAACCAACTGTATTTCAGATGAAAACATAATCACACTGAAGGGAAAATATAAAGCAAATACTGCTGAAGATGGGTTTTAGAGACACACCGTCAGGGGCAGAGGAGTGGGGATGCCAAACAACTCCTGAGATTTCAGTCGGTCTGGTTTCTGTTATGAAGCAACTCTGAAGGTACGTTAGGTAGGTTGGAGGACTGAGTAGGTGGCTAAGTGGTAATAGTGTTGGTTGGGAGCCACGGTTCTAGTTCTTCACACCAAAGAAGACCAGATGCAAAGATCCCCAGTAGCACTGAGCAACCAATGAACAGAACTAATACTGCAACTTTCCTACTAAAAGGAACCAGGCCTTCTCAGAGAAATAGCTGATTTTAAGGTTGAGGCAAGGAAGATATAGGAAGACATTTTAACTTTTTTTTTCTTATGCCAGAGAGTGAGGAAGTGCTTAGGAAAAAAAGAACAGAAAGAAAAGTGCATGTTAAGAGGACACAGGAGCAAGCTTGAAGAGGTTCCCATTGGTGGAATCTGGGACAGGAGCGTCAGTGTCATTGAGGACGGTAATGGATTATGAACCATGACAATTAGGAGGCAGTAAGTTTGTGCTTGTAATAAAAAAGTAATGAGGCAGATTCGGCTCCATAACAAAATACCAAATAGAAACAAAATAATTCATGTTAAACAGAAATTTATTTCTCATTTTGGAGGATGGGAAATCCAAGATCAAGGTGCTGGTGAGGCAGGTTTCTAAGACACTTCTCTTGGTTTGAGGGTGGCCGCTGGCCTGGTGTGTGCTCGCGGGACCTCTTTGTCTGCCATGGAGAGTGTTCTCTGGTGTCTCCTCTCATATGGACACGAGTTCTGCCATATCCAAGTCCTACCCTGGTGACTTCACTGAACCTCCTTCTAGGCCCTTATAGCTTATGGGGAACCGTGTCAGATTCGTGATCTCCGAAGATGATGATTTAACTTCGGGATCAGGGACCAGGCTTGATCACTCAAGAGCTTTTGTGCAGCTGAGTTTTATTAAAGTATAAAAGGGGACAGAGAAAGCTTCTGACATAGACATCGGAAAGGGGATGGAGAGTGTCCCCCTTGATAGTCTAAGCAAAGGAGTTACATGCTTTTTAAATTAGTTATTACAATAAATCGAAAGAATGTCTCAAGGTTGTAAACATCTTACTAGACCCACTCCCATAATTTACATTTTAAGATAACAGCACTTTTAAGAAGCCAGAAGGTTTTCAGAAAGGAGAATCTGTCCTCAAGCAGGATGCATTGTTGTTATATAATCCTTAGTACAGAGTTTAAACTGAGTTGTTTGTTGTGTAATCATCAGTTCTGGGCTTAAAGGAAACGTTTTATGTGACTGAGACTAAGGAATGTAGAGGAAAGAAAAAAGATGTTTGTCCTTTCCTCCTCCTTGAGAATTCCAGACTCCTGTCTCCACTTCGAGAGCCCCAGACCCCTTTCTCCTCCTTGGGGGCCCCAGACTTCTTATCAACCTGCCTAGGAATTGACTCTCTCAGCCCCACCTCCAAATATAGTCGCGAGAGGGGTTAAGGCTTCAGCATATGAATATTGTGCGTGGGACACAGTTCATCCCACAGCGGGCAGGTTCTGGCTAGCAGGGAGCGAGGAGTTCTGCCTGGTTGATGGAGTTGGAAAAGCCATCTCTCTGACACCATCAGAGTAAAGACCGATTCAGGCAAGAATCACTGACAGACGCCAAACTAGGGATAAGTTTTGATGAGGACCAGGATACTTGCTAGTGTTAAAGTGTCTGCCGGAGACTCTGAGAATCAGCAAAGGGAAAACAGCATGTGTCCAGGGGAGACCTGGGGCAGCACCGTGTGATCAAAACAGACACTCCCAGTGGGGGACAGGCGGACACCGCAGGCCAGACAGCATGCCTTCTATATCCCTGCACCTTAGAATGCGTAACCTTGCCTCTGTTACAAGGAAACATTAGCCAAACCCAAGACGAGGACCAGTCTATTAAAAGGGGGGTGGGCATTTGTTTTTAAAAAGTACCAGTGTCATGAAAGATTAAAAAAACTGAGGAACTGTTAAAGGAGATGAAACTGAGAGTAAAGTGAATGATAAATAAATGCATTTTCCTGCGCAGCCCTGTGGAAGCTGTCACCATTGACACATGGCAAGGAGGCCTAGGGGCCGGAGGTGTAAACAGACAGACACAGAAAGCCACGGACTGGGGAAGCCTCCCTGGAGGAGGGCCTAAGGACAGTGCAGTGGTGTGTCGCAACCTGCCCTGGAAAGCTTTGCTGCCCAAACTCCCTTCCCACCTTGCCTTCAGCTGCCTGCCAAGGACTCATCTGTACTTTACAGGTTCCTTTTTTAGCCACCAAGTATTTAAGAAATACCAAGTAGGTCTGAGAGGTACACTGATGAGTTCACTCAGTGGGGAGCAGGCCACCCCTCCTTCCTCGTCCGGCCACCCTGCCCATCCACACAAGGTGTCCACTGCCGGTCGGGGCTTGTGAAAGCTGGGGAGGAGGCCCTTGTTCCTCAGTTTCTCTCCTGTTTCCAGTGATGTACCGTGCACATCAACTTAAAAAAAAAAAAAAAATTTCTTCTGTAAGTCTCCTGAATTTCATCTCTGTGACTGACAGAGTATTGCAGAGTATAACCAGTGGGGTGTAAGAACCATAAAATATGTATTCTGCAGACACATTTGAATTAAGGAACTGTCGCTTCTGTTCCCTTGGGAATCTTAGCATCTCCAGGCTCCGGCACCTGCTGAGCTGCTACGACGCCCGTGAACCCGTGTTTCTGGGAGAGCGTTATGGCTATGGGCTGGGCACCGGTGGCTACAGCTACGTCACGGGAGGAGGAGGGTAACTATGAGCTTGGCTTTCTGCAAATTGCACTTCTGTTTCCAGGAGGCAGGGGTGGGTCTGTGACCATGGGCTCTAGGCTGATCCCTAAGTGCTCTGTAAATGGGGGGAGCTGTTAGTATGACAGGATTGTGAACATTAAAAAGGACCCACAGTAGAGAACATTTTATTCCTTGAAGAGAATAAATATATGCCTGTATGTATATATATATATATATATATATATATGAATGTCTGGGAACTTGGTAGAAATGTGCCTGTAGTGGTGATTGCTTCTAGGCAGCCAGTTAGTTTTTATCATCTGTTTGAATGAAAAAAATTTTGGATATAGATTTTCATTTCAGAAAATAATTCATTAGACTTCTTAATTATCCAGCGCTTATTGATTGTATTTAGAGGAAAGAGTAGTTACAGAAGTTTAGATTTAAGCAATTATGTGATATTTGTGTGGGATTTATGGGTTTTAAGTATAGTTAAGAATCAATGCTTTTAAGTAAGCTTCTGCCTAATCTTACGGGGAGAGATTTTGATTTGATTTGTGTAGGTGAATCAGTCAGGCAGTTAGTCTGTTCTGTTGTTTCTATAGTATTTGCTGCTGGGTGTTCAGGGAGAATCTTGTTATCCACTGTAGTGATTTACATGTATTCAGCAGGTTTTGTTGAGTATCCACTATGTGGTGGGCAACAGTCACTGGATTGTAGACTTCTGAACCTTCGGACTTTGTGTTCTTACTTTACAATCCCCTCGGTTAGAACCGGGCTTACGACCACAGGGTGGTCTTCCAGGGGTTCCTGTTTTGGTCTGGCCTGGTTAGTGGTGACTGCACCATGGTTGTGGAGGTGGCCTTTCCTAGTGATAACCAGGCCTTTTTGTTGATCTACCTAAGGCCATTAGCAGTAGGAAGTAGGGGTCCACAGGGGCCTTGGAGAAGACACTAAAGCATCAAGCCTAGGGGCGTTGAGCTCGTCGTCATTTAAGAAGGTTCCAGCTCTTTGCAGCCTTGTGGTAATGCGTTAGTATCCTGGGTGAGGGGCTGGTGTCCATTAAGCCAGAGTTTCCCCTTTTGTAAAGGGTAGTGAAGGACAGAGAAGCCTGGCATGCTACCGTCATGGGGTTGCAAGGAGTAGGACACGACTGAGCGACTGAACAACTGTGCTTTGTACTTGGGTTGATACATTTTGCAGCAGGAATGTGTTAATACTTTGACCCCAGAAGGGGCAGCCATAGCCTCCTGGTCCCCCCTGCCCTCGTCCTCCTCCCCGCTGTGCTGTTGTCAGAGACTCTGGTCCTCTAGCTCCCTGCTCAGAGGCTGCTCTGCCTTCCCATTGCTGTTAGTCTGAACTCTCTCCTACTGCAGGCATTTGACTAGAAGATGATCACTCAGATTTCAACCAGACTCATACTGACTTGGATCGGGCCTCACTTTAACCACCTCTCACTGGCCTAACCCCCAGCTCTCCCAGGTGCTCGAGACCTGGCCTTGGGGCAGTGTCTCTAGCCTGTCTTGCCTCCTGCCTTCCCACCCCCAGACCTTCTCGCTAGGGCAAGGCTCTTCCCGGCTCATCTAGGCTTCCACTCACTGATCTCTTCAGCAGGTCTTTAGGTTAGTGTGATTTGTATCTTATTTGGATTTTTCTTTGTGGGACCAGGGGAGTGGAAGTCTTTCGCGCCCTTGTACAGCCCCTCATTTCCATTGGGATAAAGTCCAGTTTCCTCACTGGAGCTCACCAGGTCTGCCTCTGTCTTGGCAGATGCTGTTTTATCATCTTAGCCTTGTTTATCTGCACCCTCATCCTGAGAGAATTCGTGCTGAACCTCTTTCAGTTCCTCAGAGGCACTGTCTTTTAACCCTTCCCTCACATACGGTGTCTGCTGATCTCTTCATAGCACAGTTCCCCACTCCCTCCCACCCCCACCCCTGCCCCTGGCCACCTTCTGCCTCTGTCACCTGGCTAATCCTTCTGATTCCTGTGGACAATATATCACTCTCAGGCCTTAAGCTAGTCTGGCTCCTGAATCTGGGTTTGATACCTTCTTCATATACACGAAGCACATTATGCTGACCATTATCATTTAATTGCCTATTTACTTTCCTGTTTTCTACCCAAATTATGAATTATTTGAAGGCGGCACCTGCATCTCATTTCTCATTCCATCCTCACTTCCTATCATGGAGACACAGTTTTACAGGGTCCAGGGGACAAGTGAATAAGCAGATGCATGAACACTGGTACTGATCTTTATATGACTAACATGGACCAGTGTAATGTTCTATTCATAGTAGCCCTTGACAAAGATGCAGAAACATTCTTCATGAGATTATCTCATTTCTGCCTTTGATAAAAGCTGCAGACATAATAGTTTCTCTGATGTTACAAGGGACTTTTCTGATGATCTAGCTTAAGAACCAACATGCTTTTTTCCTAAACAGCAAGTCAGGATCAATCAATGGCTTTTAAGAATCAGTTAATGGATTACAAACAACATTTAAAAATAATGAAATATAGAACCGAACAGAATAAAATAGATATATTATGTAGCATATGTTATGTGTATTTTTCAGTTTTACACACATATACAAAACAAATGGTTACATATGGACTGTGTTTCTTGTTTTCTCACTGTGGTTTAGAGTCAAGTAAGTTTTTAAAAATCATTGCTTTAAATCACACTCTTTAGCTCCAGTTATCAGGGATAACCCAGGCGTGTGGACTCCACACTCCGGATATATGTGTGGAAAATGAGACCTTTGCACTATTAGAATCCAGTTGTCTGTTTTCCACTTCGTTGCTTACTTCTTGAAAGTTTGGGTAATTAGTTCAATAACTGTTTTCTTAAAAAATGCTTACTTACATATGTTTGGGTATGAAGCTGTGGTCAGGATGTCATTGGTGTTTTGGCTCCTCCTTGGAGGAGGCCTTGGCACTGTTGCCCAGAGAGGCCACCATGACCTGTTCATCTGCTCGGAGCGCAGGACAGGTCTGGCCTGTTTCTGACACACTTGGTCTTCTGCAGGTGTCTTGATTTGCAGATATGCCCTTGGGCAAGTCCCTGCCTCCTATTTTAGTTTTACTTATTTTTAAAATCACTATATTGTATATTAAAGGAAGTCATATTATTAGTCTTATAGCCTTTCAACATTTTTTTATAATTAACATTTTTTACTTTTAGTTTTTTAACTGATGATTTACACAGTGTAGTGCTAATTTCTGCTGTACAACAAAGTGACTCAGTTATACACATATAGACATTCTTTTTAAGTATTCTTTTCCATTATGGTTTATCCCAGGAGATTGGATATAGTTCCTGTGCTATTCAGTAGGACCTTGTAGTTTATCCATTCTAAATGCAATAGCTGGCATCTACAAGGAGAAAGAAATGACAACCCACTCCAGTATTCTTGTCTGGAGAATTCCACAGACAGAGGAGCCTGGTGGGCTGCAGTTCATGGGGTCGCAAAGAGTCGGACACGACTGAGTGACTAACACCTGCATCTATAACTAAACTCCCACTCCATCCCTCTTTTTCCCCCTTGGCAACCCCAAGTCTCTTTTCTATGAGCCTGTTTCTGTTTTGTGGATAGATTCATTTGTGCTATATTGTAGATTTCACAAAAAAGTGCTGTTGCATGGTATTTGTCTTTCTTTCTGACAGCTTTACTCAATATGATAAGCTCTAGTGACATCCATGTTGCTGCAAGTGGCATTGTTTTGTTTTTAATGACTGAGTAGTATTCCATTGTGTGTGTGTATGTGTGTATCACATCGTTTTTATCCATTCTTCTGTTAAGACATTTTAGTTTCCATGTCTTGGCTGTTGTGAATAGTGCTGTGAATACAGGGGTGCATGTCTCTTGAATTATAGTTTTGTCTGAGTGGGGTTGTTGGATCATATTGTAATTCTAGTTTTAGTTTTCTGAAGAACCTTTATACTATTTTCCATACTGACTGCATCAACTTACATTCCTACCTACAGTGTTGGAGGGTTCCCTTTTCTCCACACCCTCTCCAACATTTGTTATTTATAGACTTTTTAATGATGGCCATTCTGACCAGTGTGAGGTAGTGCTTCATTGTAGTTTTAGATTCATATTTCTCTAATAATTAGTGATGTTGAACATCTTTTCCTATGCCTACTGGCTATCTGTTTGTCTTCTTTGGAAAAATGTCTGTTGAGGTCTTCTGCCCAGTGTTTGATTGGGTTGTTTTTCTGTTGAGCTGTATGAGCTATTTGTGTATTTTGGAGATTAAGCCCTTGTCGCATCATTTGCAAATATTTTCACCTGTTCCATAGGTTGTCTTTCTTTTATGACTTCCTTTGCTATACAAAAGCTTGTAAGTTTGGTTAGGTCCCATTTGTTTATTTTATTTCTATTGTCTTGGGAGGCTGACCTAAGAAAAATCATTGTACCAATTATGTTGGAGAAGGTTTTACCTATGCTCTTTTCTAATTTTATGGTATCATGTCTTATGTTTAAGTCTTTAAGCCATTTTGAGTCACTGATGAATGCTCAATTTTTAAGAGAGGCAGTTTATGGTGAGTTTTCAAACTTGCAGTTCCCTTTTGTATAGTTCATAACACCATTTTTCTTGTTGTTCAGCCGTATTTCCTTGTATCACCTTAAATAAAGAACTTCTTTTTCCTCTTGTCACATTTCATCCAGTCTTCTGACATCTCAGCAAAGGCAGGGAGTGTCTTCCATGTTGCTACTTCACTGGCCATGGTCACTGGTACTAGTTACACAGTTCTGAACTGAGCCCAGCTGAGTGGGAACGGATGTGTTTTGCATCATGGCTCAAGGCAGTGCATCAGTGCTCAAGGGTTCCATCCTCTCTCTCCCCCTCAGGAAGAGCTTTGCAAAAGCGGCTTTGTTCTCACTTGTTGGATCATCAGACCTTTACTGAGGACTTACCATGAGACCCTCTATTTGACGATGGGAATATATGGATACATAGACAGTTTTGCCGTCAGTCAAGTCTTTGCTTATTGGGAGTGAATTTGTGAATCATCTTAGTCCTGTCAGCTCTTGGGTTATTCATGATACGAAAACATCTGGTACTACTCTAGGACCAGAAGGGAAACTAGAAACAGATCTGTATTTAAAAAGAAGAGAATTTATTGCAGGAACTTGGGACAAGGGTATTGGAAAGGGCCAGAGGACTAAGAGGGAGCTGGTGGCTTTACCCAGAGCTCAGTAACTACAGGAAGTGCTGTTGTTCCCGAGGCTGGAGGAGCGGAAGGTGCTGGATTCGGGAGCCCGTTGGTACAGGTTGCTGCGGCCACTGCTGCCGTCAGGTTAACAATGCAGCACCCTGGCAGACCCGGGACCGGCTCCCACTGCTGCTTGGGAACCGTCCCTAAAGCTCTGCCAGCCTTGCCAGCACTCCTGGAGCCCGTGGCTCCCCAACGCCTGCCTCTGTATAGAGACCACCGAGCCAGGAGCAGACGGCCTCCTCCAGGGATGTGCCCCCTTGTTGTCAGGGTGAAGCCGGGACGTAGCTGGCCAGGGAGTCTGGAGGGTACTGCAAAGTTTCTAGCTTCCTGCAGCGCTGGGGAGAACACAGAAAGGCTGGAACAGTGTGAGTTCCATTAGGATGTACCTGGCCTATCAGGTCAAGCAGCATTTTAGCACCAGTGGAGGCAAATCAGTCTCTTTCTCCCACCACCCTTCTCAAAATCACCTTAAGGAGGCTTCTGTGAGCAGGAATCATGTGGACCATGCGTGTTTTTCAGTTAGATTTGATCTCATTGTCAGTTATCACCTGTATGACTTAGGTACCTTGTGTATCTGGGTCCATCTGCCTGCTGGGGGAGTGTTGGCAGATTTTATTACTGATCTCATTAAGCATGTGTGAACTTATGAACTCTTCTAATTTTCCAGTGACATAATAGAAAAAGAATACTGCCTATTTATTTGTGTATAAGATATATATGAAGAAATACAATTACTTATTACATATCTTACAAGTGATTTTTATGAAACACTACTAATGTTATCATCTTTATGAGAAACATGGCTCTCACCTCTGTTTCCTCATTTAGATTACCAGTCGCAAGGACCTAACTGCCTTCTCTGTCTGCTCTGGTTTCCCCCAGAATGGTCTTCAGCAGAGAGGCCATCAGGAGACTTCTCGCCAGCAAATGTCGCTGCTATAGCAACGATGCTCCAGATGACATGGTCCTGGGGATGTGCTTCAGTGGGTTAGGAATCCCCGTGACACACAGCCCTCTCTTCCATCAGGTGAGAAAAAGGGTTTTATTCCTACTTCAGAGCAGGAGATGGGGATTTTCTTCTCACTTGAAGATCCTACTTTTTTCTCTTCATGTATTCTTCTGGAAACAGTCTTAAGAACTGTGTAGAGGCTCCAGGGGGGACATCTTAACTAGACCTGTACAGCATGAAAACAGAATGCAGAAACATATGCAAAATGAAATGGTATTTGACCTGCATCCTTGCATGTGGGACCAGGTAAAAGCTGTTCCTTCCCCCCACCCCCTTTGTATAAAATAAAATGAAAATTGATGGCATTTAGAAACTATCAGATGCTATTTAGAAATATCAGGACTGACCCAATATTGTCCTGCTTACCACCCAGTATTTGCAGTTCTCCACTGGCCTCAGTCTTTATAGCATTGGCTGCCTTTTTATTGGGCTTTCTCCCCTTTGGTTGCTCTTAAACTAATTAAATTTCAGTATAGTATCTCAATAAGCATATATTCTGGGGGGTATAGAAGAGATGAGGTTATAGAAGAGGTTATAGAAGAGATGAGGTTCACAAGGGGTGTTTGGTGCTAATAAGGTCACCATCCTGCAATGTGGGGTAAGAAGGAAATCCTATTACATTATTTTTACATTTTATGTAAAATTTTACAAAATAACCATAGTTCATACCCATTGTTGAGACATTCAGAGCTTTTTGAAATTGGAAATATTTAAATGCACATGTATTTTAAGTGTCCTCCCTTACATTGAAAGTATAGTCTTCATGCTTTATTCAATAACCAGTAGCCATATAGAGACTTGGGCATGACAGAAATAACACTGCAGGAAAACTTGAATGAGGCACAGAGAGTACTTAAGTTACCAAGAAAGGCAGAATCCATTTTATGCATTCTTGAGGACTGCGAGGAAAGATAAAAAAAAAGAACTTTACAATAAGAAATGTCTGAGAAGCCACCTCCTTGGTATAAGTCAGAAGGTACTTTGCCATTTTTAAAAACTTGAGCCTATATGTGCTGTTCTGAGGACTTAGAAAAGCAGGTTATCCTCTCTGACCCCTCTCTCTTGTTCTATCTTATAATGTTTCACTCACAGAAAGGAAGGACGATGAAAACTGTTGGTGTGTAAGGGAAATAATTTATCACTGGTAATATCACAGTCTTGGGGCTTCCCAGGTGGCTCAGTGGTAAAGAACCTGATGCAAGAGTTGCAGGTTCAATCCCTGGGTCGGGAAGATCCCCTGGAGGAGGCATGGGAACCCAATCCAGTATTCTTACCTGGAGAAATCCCATGGCCAGAGGAGACTGCTGGACTATAGTCCAAGGGCCCGAAAAGAGTGGGACGACTGAGCACTCATAGCACACATCATAGTCTTAGTTTTTTATAGCAGCTTCTTTAGGGAAGAATTCATTAGTAAATGAAGTGGGTCCTTTGAAAGTAATTTAAAAAGTGTTGTTTCCCATACTTTAAAACTCTTGATTTTGCTAATTCACATAATAAATTTTAAACATTTCCAAAGTCATAAAGTGTGCTCAAAACCCATACTCCTCAACAGACACTGCTTTATCTTCCAATTCTTAAGCCTATTTTAAGAGCGTTTGCTCTGATTTGGACGTTACTTTCCATTTGTAATGTTTGAACACTAGAAAGAGTTGGACATGACTGAGTGACTAATACTTTCACACCAGAGAGTGTATCTGTTCATATTGAGAAAGAGAAAAAATCTAGGATTCTTGGTGAGTTAGAGTGGGTGTGTGGAAACAAGCTTCGATTCAAAGTTGCCTGGGCCCCATTCCTTCTGAGTCAGGGAAGGTTATTGTGAAATCACAGGTTCAGAACAGACATCAAGGAATGTCTAGTATAGCTCTCTGTTAAAAACAAAGTGTCTAGAGCATGTGGTTTTTCTGTGCTTCCAAAATTATATGCCACTAATGAGTAAGGCATATAAAGATGATGCTGAAAGAATGCTGTGAAAGTGCTGCACTTAATATGCCAGCAAATTTGGAAAACTCAGCAGTGGCCACAGGACTGGAAAAGGTCCATTTTCATTCCAATCCCAAAGAAAGGCAATCCCAAAGAATACTCAAACTACCACACAATTGGACTCATGAGTAAAGTAATACTCAAAATTCTCCAAGCCAGGATGCTCAAAATTCTCCAAGCCAGGCTTCAGCAATACATGAACCATGAACTTCCAGATGTTCAAGCTGGTTTTAGAAAAGGCAGAAGAATCAGAGATCAAATTGCCAACATCCGCTGGATCATCAAAAAAGCAAGAGAATTCCAGAAAAACATCTATTTCTGCTTTATGGACTACGCCAAAGCCTTTGACTGTGTGGATCACAGTAAACTGTGGAAAATTCTGAAAGAGATGGGAATACCAGACCACCTGACCTGCCTCTTGAGAAACCTGTATGCAGGTTAGGAAGCAACAGTTAGAACGGCATGGAACAAAAGACTGGTTCCAAATAGGAAAAGGAGTATGTCAAGGCTGTATATTGTCACCCTGCTTCTTTAACTTATATGCAGAGTACATCATGAGAAACTCTGGGCTGGAAGAAGCACAAGCTGGAATCAGGATTGCCGGGAGAAATATCAATAACCTCAGATACACAGATGGCACCACCCTTATGGCAGAAAGTGAAGAGGAACTAAAAAGCCTCTTGATGAAAGTGAAAGAGGAGTGCGAAAAAGTTTGCTTAAAGCTCAACATCCAGAAAACTAAGATCATGGCATCTGGTCCCATCACTTCATGGGAAATCGATGGGCAAACAATGGAAACAGTGTCTGACTTTATTTTTTGGGCTCCAAAATCACTGCAGATGGGGACTGCAGCCATGAAATTACAAGACACTTACTCCTTGGAAGGAAAAGTTATGACTAACCTAGATAGCATATTAAAAAGCAGAGACGTTACTTTGCCAACAAAGGTCCGTCTACTCAAGGCTGTGGTTTTTCCAGTGGTCATTTATGGATGTGAGAGTTGGACTGTGAAGAAAGCTGAGAAGAACTGATGCTTTTGAACTGTGGTGATGGAGAAGACTCTTGAGAGTCCCTTGGACTGCAAGGAGATCCAACCAGTCTATCCTGAAGGAGATCAGTCCTGGGTGTTCATTGGAAGGACTGATGCTGAAGCTGAAACTCCAATACTTTGGCCACCTCATGCGAAGAATTGACTCATTGGGAAAGACCCTGATGCTGGGAGGGATTGGGGGCAGGAGGAGAAGGGGACGGCAGAGGATGAGATGGCTGGATGGCATCACCAACTCAATGGACATGAGTCTGAGTAAACTCTGGGAGTTGGTGATGGACAGGGAGGTCTGGCATGCTGGAATTCATGGGGTTACAAAGAGTCAGACATGACTGAGCGACTGAACTGAACTGAACTGAATGAGTATGGCATGGCCAGTGAATCTTGTGCAGAAAATTGTCAAAATAACCATTTCAGGACTCTGGAAGTCAACCAGAAAGCACTGAAAAGTGTGAAATCCTGAAAAACTACTATAGTTTGTGGTAAGAGCAACAGAGTCTGAGGCCTTTCTGGCTGAAACCCCCAGTCCTTCCTGATTTCCATCCCAGCTTCGTTGGAGAGAGCAGTAGTTTGACCAGTATGGGCCAGGTTGGAATAAAAACAAACAAGGTTGCGGTCAGAGGAGGTGAACTTGATTGGGAAAAAGATGAAAACCCACAGGTATGCCAGCTAGAATTGTCAAACTTGGGTAGGAAACAAACAAGAAAAAAACCCCATCTACACTGGCCTGAGAGTGTAGTTTCAATTATGGGGAAGAAATTATTTGTCAGAAGTTTAATATCTAATCCCCTGGAAATAAGAGCATAGTAGGGCTAGATGGCTTCCCTGGTGGCTCATTGGTAAAGAATCCGCCTGCAATGCAGGAGATATGGGTTCCATCCCTAGGGTGGGAAGATCCACTTGAGGAGAAAACAGCAACCTACTTCTATTTTCCTGTCTGGGGAAATCCCATGGACAGGGGGGTCTGGCAGGCTGTATAGTCCTTGGGATCACAAAGAGTCGGACACGACTGAGTGACTAAACAAGGCAGGGCTAGATATGCCAGCCACAATGCTCTGGCCCCCTGGGAAGCTCTGTGCCTGCACATGGATGGATGAACCTGGGAGAAAGTAAAAGCCAAGGCATGTCTGAAAATCCACTGAAGTTTTGAACGTCCTTTGCAGTCCACACATAGGCTGAAGCTTTATGGACTTGAGATGTCTGAGTCCAATCTCTGCCTGTATTATAATCTAATATAGTTGATTAGATCAAGTTGCTCAGGCATAGCAGTGACTTCTAGAAAATCATGCTAATAAATGAGAATTAAAGCTTGAGGAATAAGGCAGCCACGCAGCTCCAGGGAGAAGGAGTCTATGTTGTAAGTTCAAGTAAGTCAGTCTTTTATAAAGAGCAGTGGAAGTGAACAAATCTGTGAGCTGCTATAACACATTGTTTAAAACAGCCAGTTTCCACCCAATTGTGGTGAAAGTTACAAAGAAACATATTCAGGGAGAAATGTAGTCAACAGAAATGGACTCCGAATGGGACCAGATATTAGATCTGATAGGCAAAGGCTTCAAAGCACCTAATTATTAAAAAATAAATAAATAAAAGAATTAAAGGAAAATAGTACAGTAACTCAACGAATACAAATCTTAATAGAAAGATAGAAACTTTGATAAAGAACCAGATGAAAACTCTATCGTTGTAAAGCCCAACAAGTGAAATGAGAAATTATCTAAATGAACTTAACAGTAGATTGGAGATGCAAAAGAAACAATCAGTGAGTTTGAAGGCAGATGAATAGAAATTACCTAATCCAAAGAACAGAAACGAGACTAAAGAAAAATGAACATGTCCTCAAAGTGGTAAAACATAAAGTATACCAACATATATTTAATGGAAGTTCTTTTTAAAAAGAGAAGGGAGAAAAAATGGGACAGTTTTTTTTTTTTTTTTTTTTAAGAAACAGCATTTTCTCAAATGTTGTAATGAGAAACCATCTGTTGATCTGAGGAACTCAACAAGGCCCTTACAGGATAATAAGAAAAGATTACACATGAACCAGTTATAGTTCAGTCATTGAAAAACAATGACAAAGTGAAAACCTTAATAAAAAAACCTAACGAAAATCGAAATTAAAATGTTATTAGCTAATGTTTCATTAGAAATAATAGAGACCTGAAGGCAGAAAGAAAAGGAAGAAATTTAACCAACAATTCTGTATCAGTAAAACTATCCTTCCAAAATGAAAGTGGGATAAAGACATTACCAGATAAACAAAAAGTGAGAAGAACTTTTTCCCTTCCCTTAAAAGAAGCTAAAGAAAATCCTTTGGGCTGAGAGAAAATGACACCAGGTGGTACCTGGAATATATAAGCAAATGATTAAGTACACTGGAAATACTGTATGTATATACACGCCTGTGTGTGTATATATACACATGTATATAAAATTAAGAAAAATGTGAGCATAAATACCTGTATGTGTATATACACACATCTTTCCACAAGCACTGGAACAAAGGGAATCACTGCAGTATACCTGAAACTAACACGACGATGTAAATTAACTGTATTTCAGTTTAAAAAATGGTATAAAAGACTAAAAAAAGTATACCATGCAGCCAGCTGATCGCAAGAGAGCTTGAGTGGCTATAGTAATATTAAAAATAATACATTTTAAGAACAGAAATATTACTAGACAGAAAGTGGGACATTTCATGACAAAAGGTCAATATATCAAGAGAAAAAACAATTATAACACATGTATACAGCTAACAGATCTTCACATTACACGAAACAAATGGAAATGAAAGGAGAAATACATGAGTGTTAGCTACTTGACTTGTCACATAAAGAATATTTCATCTGACAACAGAATAAACATTCTTTTTCAAATATATATGGAATATTCTCTAGGATAGACCATAAGCTAAGACATATTGTTTTGCCCAATATATTTAAAAGGATTGAAAAAATACACAGTATACCCCCAAGAACAATGGAATGAAATTAGAATCAACAGAAAATGGGGAAATTCCCCCAATATTTGTAAATTAAACAACATGCTTTAAAATAACCCTTGGGTTGAAAAAGAAATCATAAGGAAAATTAGAAAATACCTTGAATGGAATGAAAATGAGAACACAACATATCCAAAAATTTGAGTTCAGCTGTAGAGTGATCAGTAGGAAATTTATAGTTTTGAATATGCCGTGCTGTGCTGGGCTTCCCCGGTGGCTCAGATAGTACAGAACCCACCTGCAATGCAGGAGACCTGGGTTTGATCCCTCGGTCGGGAAGAGTCTCTGGAGAAGGACATGGCAACCCACTCCAGTATTCTTGCCTGGAGATCCTGTGACAGAGGAGGCTGGTGGGCTACAGTCCACAGGATCACAAAGAGTCAAACATGACTGAATGACTGACACTTTCACTTTCACAAGATGTAGTGTTAGTAGGAAATTCATAGTTTTAAACATGTTGTGCTGTTTGTGCTTAGTTCAGTCATGTCCGGCTCTCTGCAATGTTAGAAAGGAACAAAGATATTAAATTAATAGTCTAAGTTTCTACATTGAGAGCAGAATAATATAAAATCAAATATGAACTGTGTGGAATAAAAGAAATATTAAAGATCAGAGCACAAATAATAAAATAGGAAACAAAATCAGTTAAACCAAAAATTAGTTCTAATCTGATAAACCTTTAACTAGCTTGACCAACAGGAAACCAGTTGTTTTGTTTTTGCTGTTATTTGTTGGTTAGTTGCTAAGTTGTACCCAACTCTTTTGTGACCCTGAGGACTGCAGTCTGCCAGGCTTCCTGGTCCACGGGCTTTCCCAGGCAAAAATACAGGAGTGGGTAGCCATTCCCTTCTCCAAGGGATCTTCCCCACCCAGGGATCCATCCCAAGTCTCCTGCACTGCATAAGAGAGGATGTAAGTTGCCAAACTCAGAAGTGAAAAAGGGGCATCATTATATACCCTACCAAAATTATGCCAACAAATTAGACAGTTTAAATGAAGTGGAGAAATTTCTAGAATCACACTTTTTAAGCAAGTCTATTTCTTAAGAAATAAAAAATGTATTTAAACCTTTATACCTTGATGAAATTGGATTAGAGAAGCAGCAAGAATGTTTCCCAACTCAGTTTATGATGTCACAGATGTATGCTGTATCCCCAGGAGCAAGCACTAAAAAAAAAATCACTTAAAAAAACACTTAAAAAATTAACAAAGGAATTAAAATGGGATATCACAAAAGTAAACTACAGGCCAGTGTTTCTCTTGAACACAGATGTAAAAATCCATAATAAAATGTTAACCAGGCGAATCTACCAATGTGTCAAAATTGTTGCTTGTTTTTCACACTTAAAAATGAACTGTTGGGAGATATAATTACATCTAACAGGAAAAAATAAATCCATAATACTTTTGCCTCTATTGATACAGACTCCAGAAGTGATTGATTGCATCTCAGGAGTCATCCGTGCAAGTGAAGTGCGGGCTTATTGAGCATTAGAGTGTGCCAAATCATTTCTGATAAATGAGGTCACAGAAAAAAACAAGACAAAACCGCCAAAGTAGAGTGCACCCAGAGCAGCATCTGTGATGCTCAGGAGTCTGTACTGCCTCTGATAATCAGCCTCTGGGCCCAAATACCAAAGAGAAACGACACAGGGCACCGTACACGGAGAGAGAGATGGCTTAAAACTGCAGAAGGACATAAGTTGGGCAAATGTAAACCTTACCTGTCGAGATGACAGCTCACTGAACAGTGCAACAAATGGAGGTTAAAACTGCTTTAGACGCTCTACAGCTGCACTGAGCTATGGTTTACGTCCCGTACACAATTCCCACACAGTGATGGTGTGAATGGCAGCTTGAAACACCCTAGCAGATTTCCAGAGTTAGGCCACCACTAACCTGGTTTTATGGCCCGATAGTCACGCCCCCCACACTTCCCTTGAATGGATTTGCAGCCATTCCCCACTCCCTTTGCAGGCCCAGGGCACCACAGGTTTGCTCTCTGTCTCTACTGCCCTTACTGTTCAGTCACTAAATCGTGTCTCTTTGCGACCCTATGGACTGTAGCACAGCGGGCTTCCTTGTCCTTCACTAGCTCCTGGAGTTTGCTCAGACTCACGTCCATTGAGTCAGTGATGCCATCCAACCATCAACCATGTGTCTCTCTAGTGTTTCCTTTTCTAGACCTGTCCTTGTCCCTGATGAGATCTGTTTCCCTTCTCTGAAAGACATACGCTTGATTCCACGTCAGAACAGCAGACGGGCAACGGGAACCCCCCGATAGCCTTGCCCCACCTCGCCATACAGACACCATGTATGGCCAGAGTTTCTTTAGATCTGGGAAGTAAGTTTTTCTGCCTCTCTGCAGAAGTTTTAATAGTAACTTAAATGACTTACCAAGGAAACCTTTTCATAGTACCACAGTTGGTCTCTCAGGGGCATGGCTGTGGAACCTAGGAGCAGAAAGCAGATGTGTTTGGAGCACTGTGCTGTGAGGGTAAGGAAGTAACTGGAGATGCAGAAGCAAAGAGCCCAGAGGCAGATTTTCCTGGAAAGGATTCTCCTCCTTGCTGTTAGACTCCCATAACCGACACCAGCTCTGGAAGGAAAGCAGTCGATCCACACATTTAAATGTCATTCTGAAGCAGGGCTGTTTCCGGTGAGTGAGAGGGTGTGATTCTCTGTTCTGTCTGCAGGCGCGGCCGGTGGATTACCCTAAGGACTACCTGTCTCACCAGGTTCCGGTGTCTTTCCACAAGCACTGGAACATCGATCCCGTGAAGGTCTACTTCACGTGGCTGGCGCCCGCTGAGGAAGACCGAGCCAGGCAGCAGAGCCAAAGAGGCCTCAAAGAGGAGCTGTGAAGCACGGGGCCTGCAGGCACGGGTCGGAGGCCGAGACGCGCACTGTCCTGCATCTCGCAGCTCATCTGTGCATGACACACGGCATCGGAAGCTCCTGACTGCAGGTGGATGCGTGATGTGTTCATTTTTGAGTTGGGTGTGGGGAAGAAGTCATAGGGAAAACAGATTTTTTTTCTTTTCTGGGGAAAAGAAATCACTTGCGTTCACATTATGCAGTTCTTGTAATAGACAATGATTACTGTGTATTTTTCAAGCTGTGAAACAGCAGCTTTATTTCTGTCACAGAAAAATAAATGGTACCAGAAGTCTCCTTCCTGTCCTCACTCTTCATTATAACAGATGTATCAGCTGGGCTTGAGGCTGGAGAGACGTGACTGTCTTCACCATTATACATAAAATAAAGAAGAGAAGGTGTCTTGACCTGGATCTTACCATGGGGCCAACTTTTAAACCATACTATTGATGATCAAAATGATTTCTTGGTAACTCAGTAGGAAGACTGCTGTATTAAGGATCATTCGTAAAACATCATAAAAGTCTAGCAATGAAGAAATCCCCTGGAGTCTGTAATCAGGGTTGTTATGTTTTATCTGTTTTTCTGTTTATGCCTCATAAAAAGAGAGTAAGAAGTCTTCTGCGAGAGTTTTCTGCTTCTTTAGAGGTTCATCTGTGTTCTATTTCTCCCTGAAGCCCTATCTTTATGACCTACTTATAACACAAAAGTATACTGACTGCTGCCAGAAAAGTGTTCTCAGTATTTAAAAAACAGCGTTGTATTTTATTCAAGTCTCTGAGCTCTGTGTAAAGTCTCAGCAAGTATATTAAATTAATTGTACCTGGTATTTTATTCTTATTTGTATGTTACGTAATGACTCCAGACTCAGAACAGACCTCCCCAGTGTCAGGGAGGGCTGAATGGTGATTAGGCAACTTCCCAGGGTTCTCAAGGAATGAAATCTGCAAACAGTATTTTGAAACTGTGCTAATTTCCACATCATAGCTTTAATATGTAGTAATTTAATACATTGTTAATTTTTAAAGCTTATTCTGTATTTAACATTTAATTATATAATTCCATTTTCTAAAGGTATTTGCACAAAATTTGATTTTACTATGTCTTAAACTAATTTTGGCATAGTAAAATACTTTTTTAAAATAAAAATTATTAATTTTGCTTATTATGTTTTTATATCCAAGCACAGGGTTTTAAAGCTGTGCCACCAAATGTACCCAGGTGCGTGTTTTAATGATACATTTTTCTTGCAGCTTATATGGATTTCCAAAACAATGCAATAGTATTTACCATTTTTGCAAACTAGCCAATACCAGGACTGGTGTGTTTTCAATGATAACTGAACACACTGGATTCATTTCTCTGAAAGTGGATTTTATGGTCTGTCCGGGGAATGGATCCAGCATGATGGGTTGGATGAGAAGCACCTGAAGGATTTAAACGTCGGGCCAAGCTACTGCTGATGAATCAGTACTGTTGTCATAACTGGGATTCCTGTCACTGTCACCATCATAGCCACCTTCATGGCACCTGTAATAATGCACCTGGAGGGCCAGGCTGCCTGACCCTGTGGAGAAAAGCCTTCGGCTCCTACTCATGCCTGCCATCGTCACACTCAGCAAACAGTGTGTTTCTCTGAAAGGACTGAACGTGAAGCATCTCTACCTGAAGGTCCTCGTCAAGCTTTCTCTGTTACGATGACCAGTGCCTTCTGCTGATACCGGGGCGCCTCCTCTGATACTTTTAGGTATTCTGTTAATTATGTTTACTTTTTGGAACTGTGTAAGCCTAACAACAAGTAAAAGAACTTTGCCTAAGTTTCTGATTTCTCCAATGTATTTATGAGTCTGAGTGGAGTGGGAGTGGGGAGGGCCATGGGGAAAAGAAAATAATGAAATCAGAGGAGGAAGTTGGCAGCTGGGTAAACACAGTTTTTAAAAAGAAAACTAAAAAAAAAGAAAAAGAAAACTAAAAACCTATTCTTTTGAGAGAAAGCCACCGGACATTGAAGATATATTTACACATGGTCTATAAAACCATTATCTATTTTATTACATAATGAATTGGAAATATTTTGGAACCGATTCTCATAGAGTTCATATCTTAAGAACTAATTTTGAATCTGAACTTTCCTGGACAGACACTGTCCTTTGCATATTTTCTGTGCCTTTTAAATAGGAATTTATTTCAAATGGCTATTTTCATACTGGGGGGATCACTGTCAAGGAGTTGCAGGTGGAGTCACTGGAATGCCATTTTTGCTTTTAAGCCACTTCTGCTGATAGACCCAAAGCAAGCTGCCTGACTAAACAGGACTTTTACATATTGTAGCAAAATGAGAAATCCAAACACAAACACAGCCTTTACAGACTTTTTGGGAACAAAGGGCCAGGGGCGTGGTAGGCTGCCAGTGATGCTCAGCACGGGTGTGTATCAGTGCTGAGTTTCCTGATTTACTGAATACCTGCAGTGCTTCCACAAACATATCCATTACGATTGCTTCTGTATTTTCCTCAAAAATTTATAACAGAGTAGACATTGTAAGAATGTTTCTGCTGTCTTCCATTCATAATCAGAGATGGAACTTGCATGGACTGAAATGGGTCAATCAGTAGATTCATTCAGCAACGATTTCTTAAACCCTTACTACATGTCAGACCTTCCAGGATGACCCTTGTCCCCTTGTCTGTCCTCCTCACCATGTTATCCCTGGCATCCTCGAATGCCTGGCACACAGGTGCTATCGTTTTATGTCCCCAAGCTTTCTACCAGCATGTCACCTGCAAAATGTGTTTTCCTTCTGTCTGTAGTAAGTGAAGGCTTTGGGACTTCCCTGGTCCAGTGGCTAAGGCTCCGTGCTCCCCATGCAGGGGGCCCGGGTTCCACCCCTGGTCAGGGAACTAGATCCCACATGCCGCAGCTAGGTTCCACCCCTGGTCAGGGAACTAGATCCCACATGCCGCAGCTAAGAGTTCATACACAGCAACTAAAGATCCCGCATACTGCAACGAAGACCCAGTGCAGACAGATAAAAGAAAGAAAGGGAAGACTTTGTTTCTGGCATTAAGTCTTTTAGCACATGTTTTCACTTTAAAGACACATATTCTTGGAAGGAGCTGGGGTAGGTACAAGAGAAAAGGACATAAACCAGTAATAAGATGATTTATAATAATAATAAATGCTCTAAATTAGACACTGAGAACTGGGAGACAGAACCGGGTGGGGGTTGGGGACTCCTTTGGATGGAGTTGTCAGAGAGGGCCGCTGAGAAAGGGATGCTGAGTGAAGACCCCACTGAACAGTCAGAGTCAGGAATGCAGAGATGGATGTGTGAAGTGTCTAGAAAGGGGGCACAGCAAACCTGAAGGCCCGAAGGTGGGGACAAATCTGGCATGTCCGAAAACAAAAGCAAGCCCGTGTGACTGCTTGACTATTGTCACAGTTGTCATTAAACATCCAGCTGATGTCAAATAAACAGGTGCCATGGAAGTCTGGAGCTCAGTGCAGAAGTCAGAGCCAGCGTTATAATTTGGGGACTTACTACTAATTTTTAACGGTTCTGGAAGTCCACAGGACTGGACAAGATCGTGTTAGGAGAGAAGGAAACAGAGTCAGCCTGAGCAAGAGGGTCAGGGGGATGGAAGGGAAACTCGGGACAGGTTTGTGTAAAGGCAGTCAAGGAAAGAGCATTCTGACAAGCAAGTGGTTGTGTGCCACGTGTTGCCAAGAGGCCCATTAGGAGAGGACGGGAAGGGACAGTGTGACCTAGCAGCATGGTGACGACGAGATGGCTCCCGGAAAGGGGGCCAAGTGGGAACTGAGGCTGTAGAGAGCAAGTATGAAGATTTGGAGGGGTCTACAGTTAGTTCTTTTTATGATTTAAAGACCAGCTAAGGTGGTTTGAGGGAAAACCTGGGATCTCGGGTGTTTTTATTTTAGGGTGGGAAATTCTAGGAAATGTCAATGTGAGATGTGAGTGATAAGTAGGGGGGAAAGGATGAGTGACTGCACTGACATCCTGGTGACATGGGTGGGGGAACCCCAGAGTCCAGTGCAGGAATCTTGACAGAGGGTCTACTGTCAAATGGGGGGACAGTGCAGGCACAGAGGAAGGTTTTTCCATTTGCTGACATGAAGATGAGGGTTCTGACATTGATCATTTCTGTTAAGTGTGAGACAGAAACCACTGCAATGATGTAAAGTAATTAGCCTCCAACTAATAGAAATAAATGGGAAAAAAAAAGTGTGAGACAGGGTTATTTGCTGAGAATGTCTGACTTTTTACACAGGTTTGCTTTACAGAAATGGCAACATTAATAACGACGGCAATGATGGCAACCCCTTATGTGATGCTTACTATACTTGGCATGATTCCAAGTGTTTCACGCTTTGTTATTGACCCCTCACAAACACCTCTGAAGTGAATATTAGTGTGTTCCCCAGTTTATACTGGCGGTAACTGAGGCACGGATTTAGTATCCAGCCCAAGGTCACACAGCTGCTAAGTCAGTGGCAGAGCTGGGTTTTGAACCCAGACATTTTGGCTCTAGAGTTTATTCATACAATCTATTGGCCCCTTCACCTCTGTCAAGAACATGTAGCCTCTTCCCAGACCATAATCTGGTTCTAAAACACTAGCACAGTTAAAGATGACCATGAATCCAAGAGTTAGGGATTCTAACCCTAACTCTGGTGGTCCAGTGGCTAAGACTCCACGCTCCCAATGCAGGGGGCCTAGGCTCCATCCCTGGTCAGGGAACTAGCTCCCATGTGCTGCATCTAAGAGTTCGCATGCCACAACTAAAGATCCCATGCAGTCAGATAAATGATTATTAGAATCCAAGAGTTAATCATGAAGTAACTCTACATAAGAGATTAAAGGCAAGTATGATTACATATCAAATTACAGAAGCAATATGTACTGGGAGGTGAAAAAAGGAAGAAACTGGTTCACTGAAACTGAATTTTAAATTTTTGTTCTAGAACT